CCCCACCCTGATCCACTCAAGTCAGACAGACTTGGGGGTGGGGTCGGGGTAAGTCCTGTCTCTGCCAGGAAGCAGGCTCTGTGACCTCGGGGGAGTTCCTTGACCCCTCTGAGCAGTAGCACCTATGGTGATGGAAGAAAGGCTCTTGGCAAAGGGCAGAGCAGCAGGCACAGAAGTTTATTCACAAATTTTATGCATATAACCCAATGCCCCGGGGTTACCATTTGCTCTGTCACCTGGGACAAGTTCTTTGCCTTCTCTGAGCCTCAGTTTTCAACCGAGGGTAAGACTGGATGCTCCTTGAAAGGTACTTCCTGCCTCAAAGGCACGCCCAGTGTGTGGCTTGCATTCAGGGTTTCTGCACAGGCTGTTTCCTCTGTGGAGACACCCCCTTCCTGTCCCACCTGTTTAAATCCTGCTTGCTCCTGGTGCCATGCGGGCACCCTGAGCCAGGGCAGGCTCTGAATGGCATTCCCTCCATCCCTGGCCTGGCAGGGCTCCATCCATACCCTGGTAGGGATCGCTGCACGCTGGCTCCGAGGAGCTCACCAGGGAGATGCTAACACCGAGGACCCACGACAGCAGAGCCTGCAGCGCCACCCAGGGGCACCTGGAGCATCTGTGCCAGTGTGGGGCGGGGCGTGCTCCTTGCTGCCCCTGGTGGTGGCCAAGGGCAGTTACCTGGTAACTTGCTTCGCAGACCCCTGGGAGGCCCCGCCCTCAGCTGCCACTCCTAGGTTTCTCCGACCGCCTGGGATCCATCACTATTGGGGGAATCTTTTCTTTGTCCCAATGTCCCCCATGCTAGAGCCCCTGGGAGCAGGTCACCCTCTCAGTCCTGAGCTCAGCTCCCCCTTCTCCATCTGTTGGTCTCTTCATCTCAGAACAAAGGCTTAGGGCACAGAGGCCAGGTTTGTAAAAAGAGGCTTTGGTGAAACCTCTGAAAAACTGTGTTCTTTTTTTTTTTTTTGAGATGCAGTCTTCTGCTGTCACCCAGGCTGGAATGCAGTGGTGCCATCTTGGCTCTCTGCAACCTCCTCCTCCCAGTTCGGTTCAAGCGATTTTCCTGCCTCAGCCTCCCAAGTAGCTGGGACTACAGGTGTGTGCCACCACATCTGGCTAATTTTTTGTATTGTTAGTAGAGATGGGGTTTCACTATGTTGGCCAGGCTGGTCTCAAACTCTTGACCTTGTGATCCGCCCGCCTCAGCCTCCCAAAGTGCTGGGATTACAGGCGTGAGCCACCTCACCTGGCCAGTGTTTTTACTGTCTGCACGAAAGACCTGGGCCCAGAGGAAAAACAGATCCCCAAGGAAGCCAAAACCACAGCGTTGCTTTGTTCCTTCAATCACCAACATTTGCTACTATGGGTCTCCCAGCCCAGGTAGATGTTGGAAGTGATGATGCCCAGGAGCCAGCCCCTGCCTGGCATGTGGGGAATGGCTGGGGGGGGACGGGGGGCAACTAACTCTTTTGTGACAGAACAGGCAGTGGGTTTCTCAAGGGTCCCCACACACACACTATGTCCTGGGGCAATGAGCCAGCACTACCGCTTGGCCTGGCTGCTGTCACTCTTTATCTTGGACACTTGCTCTTGAATGGGACAATGTAGAAGAAAAAGACCTGAATGCCTTTAAAATACAAAGCAAAGCATTTGTGATGGTGGAAGACAATGGGGACGTGATCCTGAAATCTTAGTGCGCTGGGTGGCTGCTTGTTCTGTGTATGAAGCCAGTCTGGTTAGAGAAGGAAAACGAGACCGGGCGCAGTGGCTCACGCCTGTAATCCCAGCACTTTGGGAGGCCGAGGCGGGTGGATCACAAGGTCAGGAGATCGAGACCATCCTGGTCAACCTGGTGAAACCCCGTCTCTACTAAAAATACAAAAATTAGCTGGGCATGTTGGTGGGCACCCGTAATCCCAGCTACTCAGGAGGCTGAGGCAGGAGAATCGTTTGAACCTGGGAGGTGGAGGTGGCAGTGAGCCGATATCCTGCCACTGCACTCCAGCCTGGCACCAGAGCAAGACTCCATCTCAGGCAAAAAAAAAAAATTTTTTTCTAAAAATAGTCTCATGGGCACTGGCATTTCAGCCTGGGGCAAGCCTTCCACACAGCACCCCATTTCCCTCTCAAATGTTTGAACAGGGATTCTTTGAGAGGCAGCTTCTTATCCAGAGGGGCATATCTCTCGAGGGATGGTGCAGCCAGGTCAGCTGAGGAGTCCTGATGTCCCCGAGGCAGTGTGTCACACAAGGAAGGGCTGTCCGCTCCTGACATCAGCCCAAGCCCAGCCTCGGCAGCTGCCAGCTCTGCCCTGGCCAACTTGGTAGACTTCCTCTCCCGTCCCACTGGGTCCAGAGGGCTTTGGAGTATCCAGCCAGACACCCGAGGAGAATCTGCCTCTGGTGCTGCAGACACACACACAGACACACACACACACACACACACACACACACACACAGACACACACACACACACACACACACACAGCCTAGGCCTGGGGCCCTGCAGATGCCCCCCACCACCCACAAAGCGGATACCCTTTTATCTGCGTAGCCACCCCACTCTTATCTCTTCCACAGAGACTAACTGCCCTCCACTGCTGCCACCCCTCTGGCCAGCCACTGGCTGGGCCTCCTGGGAGCTGTCTGACATTTGATGGGATGGGGACAGGGTGCCTTGGTCTGGGAACCAGCCCTTTCAGTGCAGGAGAGGTGACCAGGAGCCTGCGAGCTAAAGGCAGAATCCTGCTGCTGTGTGTGTGGCCTCAGACCAGTCCTTTCCTCTCTCTGGGCTCAGCCTCATGGCCTGTGATGAAGACATTGGGGTTTGATCACTAAGGGCCTTGAATATTCGGGCACTATGACTTTGGCAGGGGATAGGGGTTAGAAACTCACAATTCTGGCGGTGTTGGCAAGGTGGTCAGCTGAGTACAGGGACAGGAGGGCGTGGTTAAGCAGAGAGCAGATATGAATGTCCCCAGCTTCTTGACTGGGGGAAGTGCTCAAAGGCAAGGCAGGGCTGGACGGGGCTGGGGAAGCCACAGAGAAGCTCCGAAGTGCCCGGTGAGGCTGGGCCAAGATTTACCTGGTTCACTCATAGCCCCAGCGTCCATTTGGAATTCAGTCTCCCCAACCCTGAGCCCCAAGGTTGTTATGGGTGATGGACCCTGGATTTCCACCTGGCAGGGTTGGGGGGCCTGGGCAGGTTGCCATCCTGGAGGCGGGGCACAGGCCCCGGGCAGAGGGCGGGAGGCATTCTTGCCAGGGTCTTGCAACCTTGAAGGATGAGTCCACTAGGAGGCAAGGCCTAGGGTAAGCTGGTGTTGAGATAATGGCATCCTTGGGCCCCCTCTGGCCTCTAGCCTACCCCCGGGGACTGTGGCCCACAGGGCCAGGGAGGGCAAAGGACTCCCCAGGGCTGCTTGGTGAATCCGGGGCATTTCTGCTTCCTCGCTCAGGGCTTCTATAATGCCAGGCCTTACTCAGGACAGCCCATGGCCGCTAGGGAGCCACACGTACCCCACCCAGTCTGCTGCCTGTCCCTACCTGGCTAGATTTCAGCCAGGCAAAGTGGGGGTTGGGGAACCAGGGGTGAGGTCTATTCGGGAGCCCTCCCCATCCATGCTGGGAGCAGCTACAAAGCCAAAGGGAGGCCCTGAGGTGTTGACTAGCCAGTGCCTCTTGGTCCTTCCTTGGCACACCTTCCCAGGCTCAGCCCTACCAGGAGGGCGAGCCCAGAGACGATGCCAGAGCAGCATGGGGGCTTGTAGGAGGCTGACTGGACAAGTGCTCCTGGCATGTTCCTTTGGAAGCTTCCCAGGCTCTGGGGTCAGACACACCCAGGACCCAATCTCTGTGCCTATGAACTGGTGACCCTGGGCGAGCGTAGTATCAGCCTCCCCACAGCCTGTGGGTCTGAATGAGCCACTGCACATATGGGCACGGGTGCCACAAGACAGAATCAGCCTCCAGAGCCTTCAGCCTCCAGCCCCCGACCCTTTTTTCTTGGAGGCCGAATCTCACTGTCACCAGGCTGGAGTACAGTGGCAGGATCTCAGCTCACTGCAACCTCCGCCTGCCAGGTCCAAGCAATTCTCCTGCCTCAACCTTTCGAATAGCTGGGACTACAGGTGCGTGCCACCATGCCCAACTAATTTTTGTATTTTTAGTAGAGGTGGGGTGTCACCATGTTGGCCAGGATGGTCTCGATCTCCTGACCTCGTGATCTGCCCGCCTCAGGCTTCCAAAGTGCTGGGATTACTGGTGTGAGCCACCGCACCTGGCCTTCTTCAGCCCCTTCTAAGGTGGCCAGGAATCCCGTTTGCCCTGGCACTGTGGTGGCTGGCTGGCACAGGAGTGGGAGGGCAGACTGCCCTTGGGGAGAGCTAGGGAGGGACGATGTGAGGAAGATGGTCTCTGCAAGCCCCTCCATGCCGCCCTCCTTGGGTGGGGGTCAGCTGCTAAGAGGTGGTTCCCAGTGCTGTTTTAGAATTGGGTGGGGGTTGGCTGCTGAGAGCAAGGTGAGCCAATGTTTTTTTTTTGCTTGTTTTGTTTTGTTTTTGAGACCGAGTCTTGCTTAGTCACCCAGGCTGGAGGGCAGTGGTGTGACCTCAGCTCGCTGCAACCTTCGCCTCCCAGGTTCAAGTGATTCTTCTGCCTCAGCCTCCTGAGTAACTGGGATTACACACATGTGCCACCACACCCGGCTAATTTTTTTTCTGTATTTTTAGTAGAAACGGGGTTTCACCATGTTGGTCAGGCTGGTCTCCACCTTCTGACTTCGTGATCAATGTTTTTGGGTCATTTCCACTGAGTTCCGGGTCCCAGAATGCACATCAGAGGCAGCAGGGAGAAGCGGGCAGGATGGTGGCAGGAGAGGGAGGGGATACGGAGAGACACAAGCGTGGGGACCCCCCCTGGTGCCCAGGCCCAGCTAGGAGAGCCCCCTCTACCACCCAATGCCATGGCCTGGCATTCGCATGTGGGAAACACAGGAAGTGAGAATAAAATTACTTGTTTTATTTCAAAAAACGTAGGGGTGGGGAAGCAACATGATAGACATTATGATCGGTTCCCTATGGGCTCATCCTGTCTCTGCGGGGGGCGGGGCATATAGTAGCTGAGGGCATGCCATGACATGGCAACCCAGAGGCTTAGATGTTAGTCCTTCCTGGCTGGTTAGAGCTGGGGGCACTAGGTGCCCTCCCAAAGGCCCCCATTCTGAGTTGTTGGTGCCCTCCCCTCCCCTGAATCTAAGAACTGATTAGTGGGTTAGACGCTAACAGCAGCTCAGTACTTCCCCCAGGACTTCCCCCCTCCCCTCTCACTTGCCCGTTCCCTCAGCTACCAGCTCCTCCAGCCCCCACCTCCTCCTCTTCTCTGCTCCAGCCTGGTCCTCTTGAGGTACCCCCCTCCCCAGCCCCTCAGGGCAGCCTCCACCTGAAACTCCCTCCCGCTCTGCCTTCCAGGCCCTCCCTGTCAGGGTCACCAAGGCCAGGCCATGTGGTGAAAGGCAGATTGTCACAAGGCCCGGCCCTGCCGCCCCTCCTATCAGAATGCATCCTGGAGCAAAAGGTTAAACACAGTAAAGGCAGGTACACATAGAAGGGTCCTGAGGGAGTGCCGTCCACACAGCAGCCCCGAGAAGGGGAGGGGCTGGGACGAGACCCCCCAGCTCCAGCACCCTCCCGCAGCCTGCAGGGCCAACATCCCCTGGAGCCAAATGGCCAGGAATTGGCTAGCACCGCCCAGCTGGTACCGGAGCATTTGGAGAAGGGTCAGATTGCTCCAGAATCCTCCAGGACAAGCTGTGGGGCAGGGCTGAGCCTCCAGGCCAGCTGGCCCCTCCCTGAACCTGGTCACTGCCTCTGCTGAGCCACAAGGGACAAGGGACTCCTGCTTTGGTCCCAAGGTCACAAGCTCAAGCTGGGGAGACGGTGGAACTGGCCTGTGAAAGCCCAGGCTCAGACCGCTCTAGTGATGGGGTGGAGGACTCTTCCAGGGCCCGAGGTCTGGGCTGGCTGTGCCCTCAGACCCAGGGCCCTGGACATCTTAAGAGAGGCCCTGGGTACTGATCCTGGCTGCTGGAGGGAGGCCAAGCACAAAGCAGGCCTCTTTATGAAAGGGCGGACCAATGGTGGCCGTCAGGGAGAGGGAAGCGGGGCCCAGAGGGTCAGGGCCCCTGGCCGACTAGGACCTGCCCCCATGAGCCCCAAGAGCATCTGAAGAACCAAAGTGGGGAGGGGGAGGCCTAGTGACCAGGCTGCAGGGGGGCTCACAGACCAGACTCATGGGCCGCTGCTCTCCTCCCACATTTAGGAGCAGAGTGGAGGTGGGACAGAGCCACCCCCTGTGGCTACCTCTCTCTCTGCTCCTTGGAAGAAGGGACCGGGAGGCACTGGGAGGACCCTGGTTGATGGCTGGCAGGCCCCAGGTAGGTGGGGTGCTGTGGGGAGACATGAAGGGAAAAAGGAGAGAAAGGGAGAAAGACCCAATTGTTGTCTGTGAGCGGCATGTAGTCAGCCTCTTGGACCCCCCTCAGAACAAAAGCCCACCCTTCCTTTGGCCATCACTCCACCTGCGCCCCTTCCCTGCGGTGTCCTGAGGGCTGTGGCTTCATTTGTGGAGGTAGGCATCCAGCCACAGCTCCCCGGACTTCTTTAGGGACCTGCAAAGAGGGAGAAGGACTAGGGTCAGGGACCAGGATGGGGGCCAGCCCCAGGGAGCACAAGGGCTGAGAGGGCCATGATTAGGGGGTCAGGTACCTCCCCTCAGACCTAACCACACCACCACTGGGCCTGGAGGGCTGCCAGCCCAAAGCCCACCGGGAACCCCATGCAGAAAGAGACGGTCTTCCTGCAGCCCAGGGAGAAAAGCCCGTAAAGCCTGACCCAGGCTCAGGAGTCAGGCAGGCGCCCTGGTGGGGGACTGTGCCAGGAAGACCCAGCCCCTCTTGTGCACCGCGGGCGATCCCAGGGCCCAGCGCCCGTGGACTCCCACCTCCTCACCTGATGATGTCCAGCAGGGCCCTCAGCAGCGGCTTCTCCTGGTAGTCGATGCCATGCTTGGCACACAGAGACTTTACCAGTGGGGCGACCTTGTGGAGGTTGTGCCGGGGCATGGTGGGGAAGAGGCTGAGGAGCACGGGCAGAGAGTGAGGACCCCAGAGGTGGGTGCTGCTCCGGCCTCCTCCCACCGCCCGGGGAAGACGCTGGCTGGGGCCCTCGGAGACCCTGTCCACAGCCAGGATCAGGCTTGACGTGTGGCTCCCCCTGTGTGCCCACTGGGGTGCCCCGTGTGTGGAGGGCATGTGCAGCCTTCTATGAGCAGAATGGTGTTTGTGCTCTACGGAGTGGGGAAGATATTGGGTGGCCCTAGTGTCATGTTTTTCAAAAAAGAAATGAAATAGCCAGGGAATGCTAGGAAAAGAGACAGTGAGGTGGGGGCCGGTGGCTCATGCCTATAATCCCAGCACTTTGGGAGGCCAAGGTGGGTGGATTACTTGAGGCCAGGAGTTTGATTTGTTTTATATATATATATATATATATATATATATATATATACACACACACATATACATATGTGTATATATGTATATATATATACATATATATATATTTTTTAAGACGGGGTGTCACCATGTTGGTCAGGCTGGTCTTGAACTCCCGACCTCAGGTGATCCGCCCGCCTTGGCCTCCAAAGTGCTTGGATTACAGGTGTGAGCCACCACACCCGGCCAAGGCCAGGAGTTTGAGACCAGCCCGGCCAACATGGCGAAATCCCATCTCTACTAAAAATAGAAAAATTAGCCAAGCGTGGTGGTGCATGCCTGTAATCCCAGTTATGTGGGAGGCTGAGGTGAGAGAATTGCTTGTACCCGGGAAGCAGAGGTTGCAGTGAGCCAAGATTGCGCCACTGCACTCCAACCTGGGGAACAGAGAGAGGCTCTGTTTCAAAAATAAATAAATAAATAAAGTGGAAAAATATGAAAAAATTAGCTGGGCATGGTGGCGTCCACCTGTAGTCCCAGCTACTCAGGAGGCTGAGGTGGCAGGATGGTTTAGCCCAGGTGTTCGAGGCTGTGGCGACTAAAAAGGCGCCACTACACTCCAGCCCAGGAAACAGGGTGACACCAAGGGGCAGCAGGGGCAGTCCCTTGGCCGATGTTCTAGACAAGCTTCGTAGCCCTGCCTTGCTAGCCTCACAGGGTCACGAGGTGCGCATGCAGGCTCTGGAACTACGAAGCCCAGTCCCATGTGGAGGGAGGTAGTTATCACTATGACCAAGTGGCACAGGACGAGGGGCACAGGATGTCCCTCGGGGAGATGGTGCAGGGAATCCCCTCTCCTGACCTCAGCGGGGCCAGTGAGGGAGGCTTGCTCTAGATGGCGCAGGGACCTTGCCAGGGGGACAAAGAGGTGGCCCCCACATACTGCGCTCTGCCCAGATGGGAGTAGTGGCCACTTCCCTCCCGCCATGGACCTCCCCGTCTCCCCCAAAGCCCCTCGCTCACTGGTGCTCGATCTGGAAGTTAAGGTGTCCGCTGAACCAGTCGTTGAAGAAGGACTGCTCCACGTTGCAGGTGGCTGACAGCTGTCAGGGGAGGGGATGAGTGTCAGGGGACACCCATGGAAAGCTCCAGGGCCTGGCCTCATTCCCTGGGGGCCCAGCCTTACCCAGGGTCTCCAGGCCACCCCTCCACATCATACCATCCTGCCTGGCGGCTTCAGCCCACTCAGATGCCCCACCTGTCCCTCCGGGACTCCTGCTACCCCTTCATGCTTAGCCCTGAAGCACCCAGCAGAAGGACACAGGCACAGCACAGCCCTGGGGCAGCTGGTGTGGAGCATCTGGGGCCAGGACATGGACATGGGGACCAGGCTTCGCGCAGCTCTGGTGACCAGCCCTGCCTCCCTTACCTGGCTACTGAACCAGTCACGGTAGGGCTCTTGGTCAATCTCCATGACAATGTGGTTCATCTGTGTGACCCACACAAACCAGTGGCTCTCCAGGAACCTGCAAGAGAGCACAGCTCAGCGCAGGGGCCGCCGGGGTCGGGCGGGGGTGGGGAGGGGAACGCCAACCATGGTGGGAACAGATCCACCCTCCCAACCGGTCCAGGACAGCTCCCCCTGCCGAGGGGCCAGGACGGGAGGTCCCTGGGGAAAGCAGAGCGGTCGGAGCCTCTTCACATGCCAAAGCCCCCATCGGTGCCAGTGGACGGCCCGGGGAAGAACCAGCCAAGCCCAGGCACCTGACGAAGCTGAGGAAAAGGAGGGCTCCCAGGATGCCATAGAAAGGGATGTAGGTGATGAAGAACCGGGTGTAGTAGCTGACGGCCCAGACCAGGTCCTGCGGGAAAGGACAGGGTTAGAAGCAGCCTGCCCTCTCCCCTGACCCTGCCCCGTGTACCCTCCCCAGATGTGCACACACCTCACACTCAGGCCTCTAGAAGCTGGACCCCAGTCCATTGAAATGCGTTGAGCAAAGACACACCACCTGTTTGCTTGGGGTTTGCGTGGCTGCCTTTGTTTCTAGCGGAATGCTGAGTGTTTTAGCATCAGGAAGTGGACTATGCTCTCCTGCTGAGGGGTTGCGGTGGGGGTCAGCAGCCCTTGAGTGGGGCAGGGGCAATTCTGAAGGCACACCCCCAACCCTGGGTCAGGTCCCCAACCATCCCCCAGTCCTGTCTCTGCTCCTCAGCACCTGGGTCTCCTCCTGGCCTCTCCTTCCAGCAGGGTAGAGGGCTTGCGGGAAAGGTCAGAGGCACCATTGTCCCTGGCTCAGGGCTCTCGCAGCAGACAGGCTGCCCTCCCCACACCATGCTGTCGTCCTGTGTCCTTCCACTCTGCTCTCCTCCCTGCCCCTGGATGGAGTGGTATCAAGGGCGCAGCTTGGACGTCCTCTCTCACATATTGGGAGGGTGACGCCATGGCTCTGTCCCTGTCCACTGCCATCCAAGTCCTGTCTCAACTGGACCACAGCAGCAGCCTCCCACGGTCTCCTGCTAGTCCTCATGGCTCTGGCAACCAGAGTGGCCTTTGCTCTAAGCAGATCTCGTCTCTCCCCTACTAAAGCCCCCATCCCACCCAGTCACCCACGGAGCCTCATGGGGTGGAGAACCTGTCTTTACTCAGCCCTCTGATCCAGCAGCTGCCTTGTTGTCCTGGACAGTCCCTCCCTCCCTTGGGGCTTCTGCATGGCCTGTTCCCTCTGCCAGGGCACTCATCCTGCCGTGAGTTTAGGTACAGTGACACGTGCCACAGGCTCAGCGCAGGTGTCCAAGGTGGAAGGTGAGGCCAAGGGACTACCCTGACTCACTTCAAATGACTGAAGAACAAGGTCACATTTGGGTCTTAAAATAAATCCTCACCCACTGGAGAGGGGGAGACTAGGAGCTTATTCCAGTGGCTCGGACACGAAACGACAGAGGCCTACACCAGGACCCACGGCGCTGACAAGGAGGTGACAGATTCCAGAACTGTCAGAGGCCAAGCTGGCTGCATTTGTGCCTGCTTGGCTGTGGGTCTAGGCTGGTCCTGGGTAATCAGGGATCAGGTGCCAGCAGCTGAATAGGAAAGGAGGAGGGAGCACTCAGGAGGGGCTGGAGATGGCCTCGGGGCCAGCAGTGGCCGAGGGCAGGACCTCACATTCCAATGACACTGCCTTTAAGGGGCCATCGGGAGGCAGATGTAGCCAGTGCTGCTCCCACTTTCCATGACCTTCTTCTATTCTGCGTGTGCTGCAGTAGTGTGCAGTGTATCTACACATGTATGGAAACAGAATGAGGATGTGCTTATGGATTTTTTTTTTTGAGACGGGGTCTTGCTTTATTGCCCAGGCTGGGGTGCAGTGGTGCAATCATGACTCTCTCCCGGGCTCAAGGGATCCTTTCACTTCAGCCTCCTGTGTAGCTGGGACCACCACACCTGGCTAATTTTTTTTTTTAAATAGAGATGGGGGTCTCACGCTGGGTGTGGTGGCTCATGCCTGTAATCTCAGCACTTTGGGAGGCCAAGGCAGGTGGATCACCTGAGGTCAGGAGTTCAAGACCAGCTTGACAAACATAGAGAAATCCCATCTCTTTTAAAAAAAAAGGTTTATATTTTCTTTATATTAAAAAAAAAGGAGAGATGAGGTCTCACGTAGTTGCCCAGGCTTGTCTGGAACACCTGTGCTCAAGTGATCCTCCAGCCTTGGCCTCCCAAAGTGTTAGGATTACAGGTGTGAATCACCACCCCCAGCCCAATTTTTACTTTTTTTTTTTTTTATTTTTCTTGAGATGGAGTCTTGCTCTGTTGCCCAGGCTGGAGTGCTGCATTTCGGTCTCAGTTCACTGCAACCTCCACCTCCGGGGCTCAAGTGATTCTAGTGCCTCAGCCTCCCGAGTAACTGGGATTACAGGGGTCTGCCACCACGCCTGGCTAATTTTTTGTATTTTTAATAGAGATGGGGTTTCATCACGTTGGCCAGGCTGGTCTCAATCTCCTGACCTCGTGATTCACCTGCCTCGGCCTCCCAAAGTGCTGGCATTACAGGCGTGAGCCACCTCACCTGGCTTTTATTTTTAAGAGACAGGGTCTCGCTCTGTTGTCCAGGCTTGAGTGCAGTAGTGTGATAACAGGTCACTGCAGCCTCAAACTCCTGGCTCAAGCCATCCTCCTTCCTCAGCCTCCCAAGTAGCTGAACTACAGGCACATATCACCATGCCCAGCTTTTTGCAGAGACAGGGTTTTGCCATGTTGTTCAGGCTGGTCCCAGACTCCAAGCTTCAAGTAATCCCGCCCACCTCGGCGTCGAAAAGTACTCACTGAGATCACAGGTGTGGGCCACTATGCCGGGCCTGGACTTTTTTTGAATGTAGAGAGAAATACTACTCAGAGACTGCCAGTTTCAGGGGCAGGGAGCTCAAGGGAGCAGGAGCAGCTAGAAGGATGGAGTGAGGGGGTTGGGGGAAGTCAGCAGAGGTGGGGACCTGGAAGCCAACAGAAAGAACTACAAGAGGGCGTGGCCAGTGGTGTCGGATACAGCAAGGTTCCCAGAAGGTGAGTAGTGGAAGCATCCCAGGATCCAGGGAATTTGCCAGAGAGTGTAAACGCCCCCATCCCCCCACCCCCTCCACGCCAGGAAGCCTTCTTCAGTTCTAAGGGTTTATCACCTCTTTCCTCTAAGCCAGGGTCCCCCAACTCCACGCTATTGGCACCTGGGACAGGCTGCTTGTTGTCCTGGGAGGTTCTCCAGGGCACGGCAGGGTGCTTGGTACCATCCTGGCTAGATGCTCACCAGATGCCAGGGGCACCCTCCTCCTGGCATCTGTTGTGACAATCAAAAGTGTCTTCACGCCTATAATCCCAGCACTTTAGGAGACCAAGGTGGGGCGGATCACAAGTTCAAGAGATTGAGACCAGCCTGGCTAACATGGTGAAACCCCGTTGCTACTAAAAATGCAAAAATTAGCTGGGCATGGTGGTGGGTGCCTATAGTCCCAGCAACTTAGGAGGTTGAGGCAGGAGAATTGCTTGAACCCAGGAGGCAGAGGTTGCAGTGAGTGGAGATCGGGCCACTGCACTCCAGCCTGGCAACAGAGTGAGATTCCGTCTCAGAAAAAAAAAAAAAAAAAAAAAGTGTCTCTAGATACTGCCAAAGGGCAGAACAGCTCTGCTGAGAACCAGTGCTGCACGTCATAGGTGCGCTCCTGGCCCTCAAAGCCCCGGGGGTTCATCACCCGTCCGCTCTGCCATGCCCTTTTAGGAACATAGTGTGATTTCTTTTCCTGTTTAATGCTTTGTTCCTTAGGGAACAAGCACAGGTAAAAAACCAACAAAAAAGTTATATGTATTTACATACACCTGCCATAAAAACTGATGAGAAACAACCCCCCACAGCGCCACCTGCCCAGCACAGCAGGCTCCGGTGACTCTTCCGAGGGAGCCAGGGGAGCCCGATGGAAAGGGCAGCTGCGGCAGGTGGGGAGATCTGCGTTCAGTTCAGATTCTGGCCTCAGAGCTGATCCAGAAACTTTGGGTGGGTCTCTCCGACACTTTAGTGTTCACAGACCTCGTCAGTGAAACAGGGTTAAATGACATCAGGTGGCAGGCTCCCCGTTCCTGGAACATGGCAAAAACTGACGAAATGCTGGCTTTTGAGGCAATAGCACGTCCTGGAATCGGGCATGTACAAATGTACAGGCTCTACCAGGACAAGGCTGGCAGAGGCTTCCAGAGTCCTTCCTCTTCCCCCACCACCCCCATCCGCTCCAGCCCCAGCCTGGGCCCTCCTGGCAGGATCATAGGCTCGACCCCTTTGCCGGTAATTTCAATGAGACAATGTAAGACCAGGTGCTTTGAAGCCTTTAAAATGATCTACGAATATGAGGTATTGGTATGAGAAGGAGATAGAACGGGCTGGGCTGTGGGGGAGAGTACAGGACCTGGCATCAAGGCCACCCCTCTAGTGGGTGTCACCTTTGGCAAGGCACAATATCTTCACGTGTGAAATTGGCCAGACGCAGTGTCTCACACCTGTAATCCCAGCACTTTGAGAGGCCAAGGCAGGCATATCACCTGAGGTCAGGAGTTCAAGACCAGTCTGGCCAAAATGGTGAAAGCCTGCCTCTACTAAAAATATAAAAATTAGCCGGGTGTGGTGGCAGGCATCTGCAGTCCCAGCTACTCAGGAGGCTGAGGTAGGAGAATCACTTGACCTAGGAGGTGGAGGTTGCAGTGAGCTGAGATCGTGCCACTGTACTCTAGCCTGGGAAACAGAGCAAGACTCCATCTCAAAGACAAACAAAAAAACCCACCAGCGATACATACTGAGCAACTATATCCTCATCTGTTCTCTCCCAAGGGGAGGCACCACATCCCTGTCACTGTGAACCCCACTCTGACTGTGGTGATAGCTCCGTCGTGGGCATATTATGGTCTTACACAGAATTGGGACTGTACATCTACAGAAAGCCAAGCGCCCGCCTCCTGCACCACGCTGGTCAGCCCTGCTGCCGGGGCCTTTCTCTCTCAGGAGAAAGAAAATCAGGAGACTCTGTAAGCCTATTGTTTTGAGTTGAACTGTGTCCCCCCAAAAATCACATGTTGGAGTCCTCAGCCGCACTACCTCAGAATATGACCTTATTTGGAAATAGGGTCATTGCAGATATAACTAGTAAAGATGATGTCATTACAATGGCCCCCAAAGCAATATGACTGATGTCCCTATTTTAAAAAAGGAAAATTTTCAAGTATCTGCTTTGGATAAAGAGAAAAGAAAATTAAAAAATAGGCCGGGCATGGTGGCTCATGCCTGTAATTCCAGCACTTGGGAGGTGGGCAGATCACTTGAGGTCAGGAGTTCGAGACCAGCCTGGCCAACATGGAAAAACCCCATCTCTACTACAAATACAAAATTTAGCTGGGCGTGGTGGCCGACGCCTACAATCCCAGGTCCTTGGGAGGCTGAGGCACAGAATCGCTTGAACCCAGGAGGTGGAGTTTGCAGTGACCAAGATCACACCACTGCACTCCCGCCTGGGTGACACAGCAAGACTCTGTCTCAATAAATAAATAAATACGGACAGTTTTTTGTTTGGTTTGTTTGCTTGTTTTTGAGATGAAGTCTCACTCTGTTACCCAAGCTGGAGTGCAGCGGTGAGATCTCGGCTCACAGCAACCTCCACCTCCCGGATTCAAGCAATTCTCCTGCCTCAGCCTCCTGAGTAGCTGGGACAACAGGCATGCGCCACCATGCCCGACTAATTTTTTGTATTTTTAGTAGAGACTGGGTTTCACTACGTTGGCCAGGCTGGTCTTGAACTCCTGACCTCGTGATCCACCCACCTTGGCCTCCCAAAGTGCTGGGATTACAGGCATGAGCCACCATACCTGGCTGAAAGTAGAGATCTTTAGGACTGGCTCCTGGTGGCCCCAGAGGGAGTCCTTTCCTGAGAGCAACAAGGCCGCTACCCCAGGGAGAAGATGCCTCGGGCCCCGCAGGCTACACCGAGACACACAGGGAGGCAGCATAGGACCCCTGGTCCACCTGTGCCAGTCACCCCCCTGCCCACGCCAAGCCAGCTGTGCCCCCGACTCACCACCCAGTCCTTGCGGGAGATCATGGTCGTGAAGATCTGGTACTGGAAATACACGGGGATGAGCAGCGGCGGCCCAACTGCAGGAGAGAGACAGGAGCTTAGAGGCATCCATCCCGCCCTGCCTGTGCCAGAAGGTTGGGGGAACTTGGGCCCAGCACCGAATGTAGGGGCCAGCCTTGCAGACATGGGCAGAAGCGGCTGGGGCCCCAGGGACTGCAGAGAAGGCTGGGAGCCCCTGAGGCTCCCGTGCACCACCCCTGGGACTCTCTGAGCTTCTGTGTCCCCGCCTGGCCTGTAACATGGGCTCAGGGGGTCTGCAGGGGAAGGCTGCTATGGCCCCCATTTCTAACAAGTTTAGTGTCCCTTTGTGGATCTGCAAAGGGTGGCAGGTAGGAGGGAGAGAGACGCCACTCTGGGGGGAGGGGAGGGCTCGGGAATGGTTTCTGGGCACCGAGCACTCACTCAGGAAGAAGTATTCGTGCTGGTGATTGTAGGGCAGGTATTTCAGCTTCTTCTTGCCGTACTGAGGAGAGAGGAGAGATCATGAGCACCCAGCAGCCTCGGCTCCCAGCCTCCCATGCTCCCTGACCCACCCTGCAGCCACCATCCCTTCTCTCTGCTCAGCCACCATCTCTGTCAATCTGCACCATGGGCCCACCAAGCCTGGGGCCCCTCCAGCCCTCTGGGCTCCCCATGCTGCAGCCAGCAGCGGCCAACTCTTCCTCAGCCCTAGCTAAGTGCTGGCCCAGTGGCATCAATCCTCCACAAGGCCGGCGCTTCTGAGGCTGAGGCTCAGCGTTAAGCCGCAGCCCAAGGCCACAGGAAGTAGCCCTGGCTGGAATCAGAACCCAAAGAGCTGACTCTGAGCCCATGTGACAGGCACTAAATAAATGTTTGTTGAATGAATGCGCAACAGAGCCACTCTCGGTGGGGCATGAGCACCCAGGGAAGATCCTAGGTCGCCATGGAGAGCTCCCAGAGCCCACAGCGGCAAGGAGAAGCTAGGTAATGGCCCCAGAATTGCTGCTGGTCATGAGGCTGGGAGCATCTATCTCCCTGGAGCCTCCATGTAATTTCCAAAAGTGAATCACTCCCCCCAGCTGGAGCCTAACCTTGAGGACAGAGCAGAGTGGGCCACGGCACAGACTCCTCAGGTCACATCTGGCTACCCGAGGTCCCCACGAGGGCACTGGTTCCTTCCCCATCAGAGCCCGCACCTTGGGCAGCCTGATGCCCAGAGGCTGTGATGGAGGAGGGCTAGCCTGGGTCCTGGGCATCGTCATTGTCCAAAGCCGCTCAGACCACTCCGTGTGAGCCAGGCATAGGAACCATGGCCCCAGAGGATCTCTGGAGCCCTTAGTTCCACTGTCCAGCCCCTAGGAACCAGCCCACCCTGCTCTTTTGGGACTGAAACCATAAGAAGCCGCTCACTGAGTGGCACCTGCTCCTCTTGCTTGCAGTGTGGGGAGGGTGAGCTTGGACCCAGCAGATGCGCTTGATCTGATTCAGCCTCTCACCCGGGCTGAGACTGTGTGAGTCGCTTAGCCTTGCTGAGCCTTGTCTGGCATCCGAATCAGTACTTGGTAAGAGGAGCCAATGAGAACGCGGGCATAAGTGCCAAGCGCTGATCCCAGGACACTGCCCATCACCCTCCCCATACTCCTGGATCCAAAGGCCAGAGTTGCCTCCTCCAATAGTCTCCAGTTCTGCTTTCTGCAGTCAGGAGGTCAAAGTGAGTTACAGAGGATGGTGCCCAGGCCAGCGCCACATCATCCAGGTGCGAACACAGAGGGAAGTGATTGTCCAAATCACAGGGAGAGCATGGATTCCTGAGGCAAGAGGCCGTGGGTGGGACCCAGGTCCATCCTGCCCCCAGGCTTGCATCTTGGCACCAATGGCCATGGTCACAGCACACCCGGCTGAAGAACCCCAGAAGCAGTGAGTCCCTTTGTTCTGTGTGGCCTCCTGAGCCTTGGCCAGGAGCTCACTCATTCCCAGAAAGCACGGCCACTTGCAGGAAGACTATCATTAGGGCCAGGGCTGAGGCTGGCTGTGGAGAGGTCTGAGCCAGGGGTGCCTTGGAGGAGCCTTTCATGGGTCTCCAGTGGACGGCGGCACTGGAGGAGCCAGCACTGGGGACAGTGCCCCCAAGGTGCCAGTCTCTGGGGCCTGCAGTGGCCCACAGAACAGGCCCCTGGGTTCCACTGGAAGCTTCTCCCAGAGGCCAGGGTGCAGGCTTACAGCCCAGCCTTGGTGTGCAGTGCCTCTGCTCCGGCCAAGAGCGCCTCGCCACCACATCTGTCCCACAGGGCACCCGTCCCCTCGGGCTCTCATCTTTCCCACGCTTGGTTCTCTGCCAGCGCTTTGTCACTTAAGTCTTGGGAGCAGGGAAGGGAGGGAGAAGTATTTTAGAGCGTACCAAGCTGGGGGTGAGTGCCTGGCTGTTTCATTTATCGGAAAGCTGGGCTACCCAACTAACGCATTCCCCAAGGGCCCCCAGGACTCTGAAGCTGTGATTCGCAGTTAAACAGTTTGGGTTTGGACAGTGGTGTGACCTCTTCTTGGCTGTTACCCTGAACAAGTCACTTCATGTCTCTTGGCCTTAGTTGTTCCATCCATGAAAGGGGTCGATGATAGCTCCCGCCTCACGAGTTAAGCAAGGACTAAGTAATGCTCACGGTGGTGCCCAGCCCACAGACTCACTCAACAGGAGTCACGCTTCTTCCCAACTGGGGGCTCAGAGCCCCAGATGTGGGGAGTGGAGGACCCCAAAGCTCTCCTCTTCCTGAGGAATGTCTGTCACACACACAGAGAAAGCCCAGGAGGCAAGGAAGACACACACAACTCTCACCCGGCTGGGCTGCGGGCAAGGTGTGGGTGGCGTATGGCCAGACCCCAAGAAGGAGATGGTGGCACACACGGACCTCCCTGTCACCAGGGACAGCGGGTTCCTAGGCTGCGGCTGGTAGCCGGAGATGCAGGCTAGGGGCAAGCGGGGGAGGGTGGCCAGGGGCAAGGAGGGGAGGGCCGCCAGGGGCAAGGGAGGGAGGACAGCCAGCCCCGGTGGCAGGGCTGACTCTCCTGTCCTCGGTCTCTCCATGCACCACAAGGCCAGGCTTGGATGAGGGCCCAGGGGACACCAGGCCATGTGGAGGGGACCTTTCAGCTTTGGAACAAAATGTCTGAGGAATGACAAGGGACTTCCTTGTCCGTAAAGGGTGGGGGGAGGGGAGCTGTCCCAAAGCCCAGTCTCTGCCTCTGGGAACCTGCAAACTCACAGACGGAGAGAAGCAGACGACACGGCCTCCCCAGCAGGAGCAGAATGGCAAGGTCCCCATCTAAGGTCCCTGCAAAGGTGGCATGGGTGTCCCAAGGCAGGACGGGTGGCTTTGGCCTGTTCATGAAGTTCGCCTGAAGCAGGAAGCCCAGGGCTTAGCTTCGGACAAGCAGAGCCACAGAGGTGGCAGGAGGGAGCGAGGGAGGAGGGAGGAGGAAAGAAGGAAGGAAGGAAGAAAAGAAGGAAGGAAGGAAGGAAGGAAGGAAGGAAGGAAGAAAAGAAGGAAGGAAGGAAGGAAGGAAGGAAGGAAGGAAGGAAGGAAGGAGGGAGGGAAGGAAGGAGGGAAGGAGGGAAAGAAGGAGGGAGGAGGGAGGGAGGGAGGGAAAGAAGAAAGAAAAAAGGAAGGAAGAAAGGAAGGAAGGAAAGAAAAAAAGGAAAGGAGAGACTGTTTTCATTATTTTCTAGAATATGATCATCTACCCGGGAAGCTCAAAAGAATCAACTGAAACACAACTAGAATCATGAAGAGACATAAGTGGACACTAGCAGGACAAAAGAGAACGACCCCATTCACGGCAAGGCCATGCAAACAAAAAACAAAAAGAAAATTAACATAACTACCCGAATATCAACTGCTTTCCTGAGTACTGCAGAACCTGCAATCATGATGACAAAAATATAAAATGTAAAAGGATTGTGTTTTAAAAGAAACATCCATAAGACATATATAGAAATACAGACCTTGCCAGGTGCAGTGGCTCATGACTGTAACCCCAGCACTTCGGGAGGCTGAGGCGGGCGGGTCGCTTGAGGTCAGGAGCTGGACACCAGCCTGGCCAACATGGTGAAACCCGTCTCTACTAAAAATACAAGGATTAGCTGGGTGTGGCGGTGTGTGCCTGTAATCCCAGCTACTTGGGAGGCTAAGGCAGGAGAATGGCTTGAACCCAGGAGGCAGAGGTTGCAATGAGCGGAGATCACACCAGTGCACTCCAGCCCAGGCAGCAGTGTGAGACTCCATCTTAAAAAAAAAAAAAAGACCAAAAGGCAGAAAACAAGGAAAAGGGCTTTACTGCCTAGCCCACGCTGTTCACAGTGCTGCGTTCTGGGAGCCACCTGACTGGGCAGCTTTGCTTATCTGTGCCTAGAGATAGGAGCCCTGGCTGGTGTCCTTGCTCTGGAGACTGTTATGGTGGCTTGAGACCCTGAGGCCTGGCCACCCCCACCTGGCCCTGCTGTGGCACGTGGGACTGGCATGTGATAAGTTCCATCAGACCCACTGTCACTTCAGTCAAGAGACAAGAGCTCCTTCCAGGGCAGCCGGGTCCCATGAGAGCCAGAGCACAGGTCGGCCAGGAACCTGGGAAGCACTGACTCTTTCCCCATGAGTGAGAGAGAGGGGGATTTCCACGGAAAACCGTAGTACTCACCGCGGACTTCCAAATGCCATTGGTAACTGGACAACCAGATCCCCACAGCCTCCCACTCCTGCCTCCTGCCCCAAAGCCAGCATTGCAGAAGCGTCGGGGGTGAGAAGGTGTGGGAAAGGAGAGACTTGCTGGCACCACGCACAGGAAAGATGCCTTTCTTGCCAGTGCAGCCGGTGGGACTGGACTGTCTTTGTTAGAGACACAGAGAACAGCTGTCATGACAGCTGACGGCTTCACACCACAAAGCCTCCCCGACAAAGCGAAGCCTTTGTCCCCGCTTATCAGAAGGCCCCAAGTTCATCAGTTCCATTATCTAGACACCTCCGATCACAGCTGCCAAACTGTTTCCTAGAAGAATAACAATGGCATGCACTTTGGCAGAAAATAGAATCCCTGGCAGCCCAGAGAGGCTTCCAAAGTACAGAACCATGGCTAATTTCCTGCAAATTGGCCATGTCACAGAAAATCCATGTTTCTGCTCAGATATTCTCACAGGTGGAAATGAAATCAGAACGGGGAGTACAAACAAGGGAACCAGGCTGTCTCCTTGCCTTGTTCCAAGCCTTAGGCGCCAACGCTGTCAGGAATACCACTTCACTCATGACACCACGCTTTAGTGAGGGAAAATTGGCCTCACTTAGCAAATGCTGATTGAACCCTACTCTATCCATGGTTTTGTGGCTCTTAAGATCTGCATAAAAGCAACAAGCATCTTCTAAACTTTCATTTTCATCATTAATGTATTTCCAAAAAGCAGCGCATGCATATTTTTTTTCTTGGAAATTTCACCCTGACATAGAGGCTTTACTCTAAAGGCAGGCAGATCACAGGGTCAGGAGTTCGAGATCAGCCTGGCCAATATAGTGAAACCCTGTCTCTACTAAAAATGTATTAAATAAGAACATTTTTTAAACACATTGGTGGGGCTTTTATGCAAAAGAAATTATGAATTACTAACAGGCAATTTTTCTGCCTTATAAAATAATGTAGGTTCTGTTTTGGTTCAGAAATATAACAGAATACCATATGGCTACAGGAAGATGAGACCTGTCTATATAGACTGGGAGAAGGGCGTCCACATTCACAGAGGTGGCAAGTTGCAGGATACAAGGTGGAAATTTTTTTGTTTTTTTCTTTTTATTTTTTAACTCAGTCTCGCTCTTTTGTCTGGAGTGCAGTGGTGCAATCGTAGCTCACCGCAGCCTTGACCTCCCAGGCTCAAGTGATTCCTGTACCTGGAACCATAGTCGCACACCACTACACCTGGCTAATCTTTTGTATTTTTTGCAGAGACGGGGTCTCATTATGTGGCCCAGGCTGGTCTTGAACTCCTGGGGTCAAGCAATCCTCCCACCTCAGCCTCCCATAGTACTGGGATTACAGGTGTGAGCCACCACAGCTGGCCTAAAATTTTTGTTTGTAAAGAAACACATATATGTATGTTTATACACACATAAAAATATCTAGAAGATGATATAGCATCTTGTTAACTAAGTGGTTACCCTCAAGGGCATAAAATTTGAAGCAAAGGGGAGGTATGAGAGACTCACTTTTTTTTTTTTTTTTTTGAGACAGGACTTGCTCTGTCAACCAGGCTGAAATACAGTGGTGTGATCACAGCTCACTGTAGCCTCAGCCTGCTGGGCTCAGCTCAAGGGATCCTCCCACCTCAGCCTCCCCAGTAACTGGGGGTAGGCACTCGCCATCATGCCTGGCTAATTTAAAAATATATACTTTTTGGAGAGACAGGTCTCACTGTGTTGCCCAGGTTGAGACTCACTTTTAAATTCTGGATATTTCTATACCGTTTAAAAGTTTATACCAAGTGTGTTCTATATTTGCAGCAATACAAAGAACTAATACGAAAATAAGACAGCATAGTAAATGGAAGGCAATGGCTTAGCAGTAAAAGGTCTGCGGCCTCACCCTAGACTGGCCACTAAATTACATGACCTTCTCAGCTGGGCACGGTGGCTGACGCCTATAATCCCAGCACTTTGGGAGGCCAAGGCAGGAAGATCATGAGGTCAGGGGTTCGAGACCAGCCTGGCCAACATGGTGAATCCCTGTCTCTACTAAAAGCACAAAAATTAGCCCAAGGTGGTAGCACACGCCATAATTCCAGCTACTCAGGAGGCTGAGGCAGGAGAATTGCTTGAACCCAGGAGGCAGAGGTTGCAGTGAGCCGAGATCACGCCATTGCACTCCAGCCTGGGCAACAGAGCAAGACTCTGTCTCAGAGAAAAAAAAAAATTACGTGACCCTGAAAGTGTCCCATCCTCTTGCTGACCTTCTATTTCTCATCTACTGGTAAAGCAGTTGCACCAAGCCATGCTGAGGCTCCTTCCAATGCACAGGATCATGGTTCCCTGAGTAAGGCTTCCTTAACATGAGCCAGTCAGGTGGTGTCCAAGCTTGAGCCCTGAAATCCTGCCTTCCTGCTGAACTGGAACAAGGTTTCCCTCTACCTGGGAAGAAACAAGCTGGAAAATGCCTTTCCTGGCCTATGGGTGGGAGGGAGGCATCTACCATTCTGATAAGGAGCTGCCTCCAGTATTTCCAGGTGAGACCATTCCACATACATTCCAGCTGGAACAGTTCAAGGTGCCTAGGAAAGATACATTCCAGCCGGAACTATTCAGGGTGCCTGGGAAAGGTATCAGCGCGGCAGGAGACGTGGACCCGCCTGGCTGACTGTCAGTCCTCCAGGCTACTTTCCCCGCTCAGGCCAAACACTTCCTAGGTCAACACCATCCCCTTTGTCGTACCTCGATGGGCTGCCATCTGCCCAGGACGAACGTGTGCAGCATGTTCACATCGGGATCCTTCTGGAAGATGTTAGGCTTGGCATGGTGCTGGAAGTGGCGATGATTCCACCAGTTGGCGGAGGCACCCTGTGGGGAGAGAGGGCTTGGGATGAGCCATGCGGGCCACCAGGGAACTGAGCTCACCTGTGACAGGCCCTGCTTGGTACCAGTTCCCTGCACCTTCAGCCCTTGGGGACAGCACCTCGGATCCCCATAAAGTCAGAATCCAGCCCAGCCATGACTGAGCTCAGAGCATGGGCCAGCCCCAGATGGAGTCAAGTCACTTTATCTCTCTAGGCTTCAGTTTCCCCAATCATAAGACAATGATGGCGGGCAAGGTGTGCTGCTGTGGGACCACGTGGTGAGTGCTCCAGCAGGTGTGGGAGCTGGTCTCTGCCTCTCTGCCCCCAGGTGTGAAGCCAGGGCTGGGCAAGGTAAAGCCTGGGTTTCAGAGACAGCAAGAAGTGGTCTCTACTATGTGACCCAGAAATCTCCCTCCAGAGTGTATATCCAAGAGAAATGAAAACATGTCCACACACAAATTCATAGAGGAGTGTTCATATGAGTATGCTTCAAAGGAGCCAAAAAAGCAAAAGCAGCACAAGTGTCCATCGGCAGATGAGGGATGGATGAAACGTGGATTATGCACACAACAGTCTATTGTTTGGCTGTGCCATAAACAGAAGGAATCGCTGACACTTGCTACAACACGGATGAGCCTGCAAACGTGCAAAGAGAAAGAAGCAGCCACAAAAGGCCACATATCGCATGATTCCAGTGACATGAAACATCCAGACTAGGGAAATCTATAGACACAGAAAGATTAGCGGTTGTATAGGCTAGGACCGGGGTGGGGGAGGGTGTGAGGGGGCTGGGGTGTGATAGCTAAGAGATGTGGGGTTTCTTTTGAGCCTAATGACAATGCTCGAAAATTGACAATGATGATGGTGGCATACATCTGTGAATATACTAAAAATCACTGATTTGTCTACTTGAAATGGGAAAACTGGCTGGGCACGGTGGCTCACCCCTGTGATTACAGCACTTTGGGAGGCAGGGCGGGTGGATCACTGAAGATCAGGAGTTTGAGACCAGCCTGGGCAACATGGTAAAACCCCATTTCTGCTAAAAATACAAAAGTCAGCCGGGCGTAGTGGCAGGTGCCTGTAATCTCAGCTACTCCAGAGTCTGAGGCAGGAGAATCACTTGAACCCGGGAGGTGGAGGTCGCAGTGAGCCAAGATCACACCACTGCACTCCAGCCTGAGCAACAGAGCAAAACTCTGTCAAAAAAAAAAGGTAGAGGGGAGAACTGTATCTCAATAAAATTTCAATAAAGCTTTTTTTTTCTGAGACAGAGTCTTGCTCTGTCACCCAGGCTGGAGTGCAGTGGCACGATCTCCTCTCACTGCAACCTCCGCCTCCTGGGTTCAAGCGATTCTCCTGCCTCGGACTCCCGAGTAGGTGAGACTACAGGCGCATGCCACCATGCCCAGCTAATTTTTTATATTTTTAGAAGAGACGAGGTTTCACCATGTTAGCCAGGATGGTCTCGATCTCCTGACTTAGTGATCAGCCCGCCTTGGCCTCCCAAAGTGCTGGGATTACAGGTGTGAGCCACTGCACTCGGCCAGAGCATTTTTAACAAACAAAAATAAAGGAGATTACAAGTGGCCCCTGCTCTTGGAGAGCGCAGTTGTGCTACTATGCTGAGGGTGGGTCCTGAGATTCATGTCACACCCCGAAGGCGGGAGGGAGGGCTTAACAAATAATAGCTAACATGAACCGGAAGAGCTTTCCTGCTTCTAACACTTAAACAGGATTCCATGAAACATGACGCATAACATGGGTGTTTCTTTTGAGGCCACAGATTTCTGTCCCCTCAGCTCAAGCTCTTGAGAGGCACGGCCCTCAACAAAATTGCCCAGCGACAGAGGAAAGAAAACATACTTTCCTGATCCTTCAGCATCACGACTACCCTAGTGCACTGTTGTTGCTGGATCAATGCTTTGATTAAGGGTCTGCAAAAAAGCCCACTCTGCTGGCTGGACCTGGTGGCTTACGCCTGTAATCCCAGCACTTTGGGAGGCTGAGGCATGAAACAAGTAAGTGTGACGTTTGGAGGATACCAACCCAGAGATGTTTGTTGTGTGAATAAATGGAGGGAAGCAAGATGGGCTGAGAACAAGGAGCCAGTGATGGGGGGCAGTCCCGGCTCTCCCTGGACTCAGGATGAGATGAAATGAAAGCAGTTTTTGTTCATGCTACTGCTCTGCTGTGATTCTCTTCCATTCTTTGCAAGGTGAGGCCCTGCTTGTCCTTCTGAGCACCTGGAAGCCCGTCCTGCCCCGGACCAGTGGCCAGTCCCATTTTCACAGAATGCGGTCAGATGTTGCTTACCCTAAACTGGCTGCTGTGCTCTGCCCCAGCACGGTGAGCTGTAATGGCGCCACTGCACTGCAGCATGGGTGACAGAGTGAGATGTCTCTAAATAACCAAGAGTGATAAATACTTGCTACAAGTGTCACTAAATAACCTTGCTAAGGTTAGAGTGACGAAGAGACCAAACCCTTGTTCTTACAGAGCTGCGAGGGAGGGTCTGGCATCATCACACCAAACTCAAACTGAGCTGGGGCCAGGAAAGCTAAGCGTCCACCCCACTAGAGAAGGTGGCCAGGCAGAGTGAGGGCTGCTTTCCTAGCAGAGGGAAGAGCCTACGGGAGGCCCTGGGAGGGGAAGGGGGAGTGTGGAATGTTCCAGAAGCCAGAGGAAAGCTCTTTGGTATAACTGTAACCAGCAGTACTGGGCGGAGCCATATCAGAGCCTGAGGCAAAAAAAAAAAAAAAAAATAGTGTACTCTTGGCTTTAATGGAAGCAAATTCATGGATAATATTTTCAAAGTCTGCTTTTTTGCCTCATCTTGTTTTCAGCGAAAAGAATTGCTGAGTTTGATGATTTCTGTCAATCAAGTGAAGAGCTTAAATAATTTTTATTTTTATTTTTAACTTTTTGAGATGGATTCTCATTCAGTCACCCAGGCTGAAGTGTGGTGGCACGATCTCGGCTCACTGCAGTCTCCACCTCCTGGGTTCAAGTGATTCTCCTGTCTCAGCCTCCCGTGCAGCTGGGATTACAGGCACACCACCTCGCCCAGCTAATTTTTGTATTTTTAGTAAAGACAGGGTTTCACCATGTTGCCCAGGCTGGTCTCGAACTCCTGACCTTAAGCGATGCACCTGCCTCAGCCTCCCAAAGTGCTGGGATTACAGGCGTGAGCCATCACGCCCAGCCAAGCAAACTCATCCAGCCTTAACTAATTTTAATTACGTTCAATTTTAGTAAAAGTATAAGTACTGTTTTGGCATTTACACTTAGAATGTTATGACTTCTAATACATCAGCTTCTAAATTCTTAAATATTTTTTCAACTACTTTAATGCTCTGGGAAAAAAATTAGCCGTTAAAAAAATGACACACAAACACGTATAGAGGGGTGCATGTTTTTCCATTTGCCTCAGTTGTCCTGATTGTTAGTTAAAATTTTGATATTTTGCTCATTGTGGATTTTTTTTGCATCAATTTTGATTTTTTAAAAAGCATATTGCAGGCCAAGCGTGGTGGCTCATGCTTGTAATCCCAGCACTTTGGGAGGCTGAGGCAGGTGGATCACCTGAGGTCAGGGGTTCAAGACCAGCCTGACCAACATGGTGAAACCCTGTCTCTACTCAAAATACAAAAAAATTAGCTGGACATGGTGGCACACACCTATAATCCCAGCTACTCAAGAGGCTGAGGTGGGAGGATCGTTTGAACCCAGGAGGCAGAGGTTGCAGTGAGCTGAGATCATGTCATCACATCACTCTTATTGCCCAGGCTTGGGCAACAAGAGTGAAACTCCATCTCAAAAAACAAAACCATATTGCATTAAAACATTATTTATCTTGAGGACTGAATTTGTCTGGTGTCCCTGTAGATTTTACACCATAGGCAAGTGCCTCACTTCCTTCACCCCAGTCTAGGCCCTGGCGGCCTGAGATGACGCTGCAGAAAGGCTGGTGATGTCCATCTCCAGATGGAGCACCCAGATGGCACTGGGCCTTCCAGGTTGCATTTATTTATTTAGAGACAGCGTCTCACTCTGCCCATGCTGGAGTGCAGTGGCGCCATCACAGCTCACTGCAGCCTTGAAATCCCAGGCTCGAGTCATCCTCCTGCCTCAGCCTCCCCAGTAGCTGGGACCACAAGCATGCACCACCACTCTTGGCTAATATTTTTATTTTTAGTAGAGACAGGGTCTTGCTATATGGCCCAGGCTGGTCTCAAACTCCTGACCTCAAGCGATCCTCCTGCCTTGACCTCCCAAAGCGCTGAGGTTATAGGCGTGAGCCACTGGCACCTGGCCGATTTTATCCTAAGCACAATACTGAACTACGAAAGAGTTTTACCCTCAAAATTGTCTTTGTAAAAGATCACACTCTGGAAAAAATGTTCACTGGGCATGACATGGGCTGAAGGCAAACAGAAGGTCAGGGTATGGAAAACATGAAATTCCACGAGCGGCTGGGCTAATGTCTATAATCCCAGCACTGTGGGAGGCTGAGGCGGGCAGATCATGAGGTCAGGAGTTCAAGACCTGCCTGACCAATATGGTGAAACCCTGTCTCTACTAAAAACACAAAAATTGGCTGGGCGTGGTGGTGTGCGCCTGTAATCCCAGCTACTCAGGAAGCTGAGGCAGGAGAATCACTTGAACCTGGGAGGCAGAGGTTGAAGTGAGCCAAGATCATGCCATTGCACTCCAGCCTGGGGACAGAGCAAGACTCCATCTCAAAAAAAGAAAAAGAAAAAGAAAAAGAAATCCTATTAGCAGTGCAGCCAACAGTAAGGAAGGGGTCCCAGCCTCTCATAGCCCCTGGTAACCTACTTACAGATCCCTCCAACTTGTGCTAAGACACCTGAGTTGGCAAGGCCCTGGAGGACCGCCCTGTAGCCAGTCCCCTTTTCCCCAGTGATGGGAAGAGACACAGACCTCCGAGATTTGTCTGCATGGCTGTGCACCTGCCGAGTGCTGGAGCCACTTTCAGGCAAGCTGTGACCTCCTTGCTCTGGGGCACCCAAGTGAGCGGCATCCCCATGTCCTTGGCCTGGTTCTGTGACACAGCACCAAGGACACAGCCAGGAGGGGCTGGTGGGCCATGAGTGGATCCCACATGCCCAAGCCCAAGGACCCTGTTTGCTGTCATCCACGTTCTCCATGGAGACCAGTTCTCCTCTGTCCTGGCCTCATCTCCCGCCTGACGCAAGAGCCGTGCTGTGCGGCCCTTCAAGGACTGAGGACCATTGGACAGGAAAGGTCCCCCCTGCCTGGCCCCTGACCAGAATCCAGAAGCAGGACACAGCCCATCTTTGTTAAGTGCGTGGGGGCTCACATGGGTCAGGAGTTAAATGTTACTCTGCCATACTGAGGAGGGTTTGATCCAGCAGAGGAGAGTATAAAATGAAACAAAGCACTCCACTATGTGCGCCCTCTCCCTTTGCCCCTGAGATTCTGGACAGAGACCAGGTTCTCAGGCTGCTGCAGGCTCAGCGCCAGGCAAGCTGCTCGCTGCGAAACTGGTGACCAGCTCAGGGGTGGTTGGCCACTGATGGGACCTGCAGCTGGCAAGCCAAGGGTCCCACTGTGGTCTGGGTGGGAGAGGGGATAAGCTACACCCGACATGCAACTCCTCCCTTGCCAGGGTGTGGAGGGATGGAGTCTTTAGGACCCAGCTTTTCCCAGGAAGCAAGTACTGTTGCGTCGGGCTGAGATGGGGACATCTATTTCAGAGAGGAAGTTGGCAAAGACTCATTCCAGAACTGAGGAGATAAGACCTATCAGATCAAAACAAGGCTGTTGGCAATCCCAGCTTATCTTTCTACAAACCTGCCGAACCTCCATTCTGCTTCCTCCTCCAGGGGGAGGTGAGGGCAGAACTTCCTTAATGCCTTCCCTTCTACCACAACAGTCCTTTGGCCCAGCTGTTTGTTCCGTGGTTTGATGTCCGCTACCTAAGGCCTAATAGGATGACATTTACTTTTTGTACCCCACGTATTCCTAAAGAGTATTTAAAGTGGCTTAAGATAAAGCATTCACATATAACAGAAGGCTGAAATAAAGATCAAAGCTTGAACGCCATATGAGGAAGGAGAGAATGGGTACACCAAAAACGCAGACTAAAGACAGTTGCTGTTTCAAATGCTGCTTTGTACTTCTTGGCTCCTGAGGGGAAGAGAGGAACATAATGTATTTCTTTTCTTTTTTTTTTTTAGAGATGGGGTCTCACTATGTTGCCTAGGCTGGCCTCAAACTCCTGGGCTCAAGCAATTCTCCTGCCTCAGCCTCCCTAATGGCTAGGATTACAGCTGTGCACAACCATGCCCAGCACAATGTATTTAAGAGTTCACATCCCTGGTGAAAGGAAGCATACCAACTCATCAAAAGATACTGCTACTGGCCGGGCCCGGTGACTCATGCCTGTAATCCCAGCACTTTGGGAGGCCATGGAGGGCAGATCACGAGGTCAGAAGCTCGAGACCAGCCTGGCCAAAGGGCAAAATCCCATCTTTACTAAAAATACAAAAATTAGCCAGACGTGGTGGCACATGCCTGTAATCCCAGCTACTCAAGAAGCTGAGGCAGGAGAATCGCTTGAACCCAGGAGGCAGAGGCTGCAGTGAGCTGAGATTGTGCCATTGCACTCCAGCCTGGGGGACAAGAGCAAGACTCCGTATCAAAAAAAAAATTGCTATTTTACTCTTTACTGTCCCCAAATGAAAACGGATTTGTTAGATGTGTCCTTAGCTAAGGAACATAAAACAATGCAATCCACTGAGCCAACAGACAAAAATGGAGTGTGCCTGTCTTCGTAACGAGTAATACACTGTGGCTTTGAGGGTCGGAACCAATCCAGGGACAGGGCTCAAGAAGGCAGCAGAATGGAGGATCGCCATGGCCCATGGCATAAGGCACCCATAGGCACACCTGCCTTGTCACCCTGTAGCCTCGGAGCACTGAGCAGAGGAGTCCTCGTCTCTTTGTCTCAACTGCCATCCAACGGGACAGATGCTCAGGGCTGCTGACGTTTACCTTTAAGTGGCCAATGATGAATTTGTGGGCAATGTGGTTCCACATGGTTTTCCTGTAGACAGACAGGTGGCCATAATCGTGTTGCAGCCATCCAGCTTGGGCCTGGGGAGAGAGGGTCACACACACTGTCACGGCCTCAGCTAATAGGCACCAGGTCTCTGTCAGCTGGGGAGGGCGAGGGTGTCACACCTCACCTGAGAGGTAGCAAGGACAAAGGCTGTGATGAGGGTAGGAATCCAGCCATTGCCAAAGTAAAAGATGGTGAACCACGCAATGCTCTCCAAGGCGACGATGTGGGCCAGGTGGAGGAGGAAGAACATGTGGTTGGTCTTGAACAGGTTCATGTCCTCAGCCGTCTTCCTCAGGACCCGGAAGTCCTCGGTGATCTGAGACTGTTGACCAAGAGCACAGGGAAAGCAGTCAGCCACCAGCCACCCAGGAGGGAACATACGTCTCGGGCTACTGTGTCAATGGCCAACCCACAACCCAGAAAAGCTGTGGCAAGAGGGGACCAAGCCATGAGCCTCGACCCTGCAGGAGACCCTGCAATGGCTGCTGTTACCCCATGTCCCCCACAGCCCTGGAGCCTACGTATTTGTCACAGCTGGGTAAGAGTGACAGAGAAAGGCTGTGACTCAAAAGTTTGCATTTTGTACACCCTGTGTTCATAGCAGCACTATTCACAACGGGAAGAAGGTAGAAACCACCCGAAGATCTCATGACAGATGAAGGGATCGACAACACATGGTCTATCCATGCAATGGAATATTACTCAGCCTTGAAAAGGGAGGAAATTCTGACACCTGTTACAACGTAGGCAAACTTCGAAGACATCATGCTAAGGGAAACAGGCCAGTTACCAAAGGACAAATATTGTGTGATTCCATAGACAGGAGGTCCTGGGAGAGGTCAAATTCAGAGACAGAAAGTAGAAGCGTGGCAGCCAGGGCTGAGGGATGGGAGAATAAGGAGTGAGTGTTTAATGGGTGTGGAATTTCAGTTTGGGGAAGATGTAAACTGGATGGAGGTGATGGTTACGTAACAATGTAAATGTGCTTATTTAATGTCACTGAACTGTACACGTCAAATGATTAAAATGGTTAACCACACTTTTTTAAAAAAGAAAACCTTAATCCCAACAGTTTGGGTGGCCGAGGCAGGCACGTCAGGAGTTCAAAACCAGCCTGGCCAACATGGTGAAACCCTGTCTCTACTAAAAATACAAAAATTAGCCGGGCGTGGTGATGGGAGCATATAGCCCCAGCTACCTGGGAGGCTGAGACAGGAAAATCACTTGAACCCGAGAGGCAGAGGTTGCTGTGAGCCAAGATTGTGTCACTGCACTCCAGCCTGGGCAACAAGAGCGAAACTCCATCTCAAAAAAAAAAAAAAAAAAAAAAGAAAAGAAAACTTGTACTTTCCACCACTCAACAAGCGCCACTTGCTCTGTGCACGCTGCTGGGTCTTAAGGGGTGAGGTAGGGGAGACTCGGACTAGTGCAGGAGGGAGAGCTGAGGCAGGGAGGGGGAGGCAGGGACGTGAGTCCCGGGCACGTGGAGCCAGGGAGGCGAGGTGGAGTCAAGGAGGGCGCTGGGAACACAACGGCATTGCATGAAAGAAGGAACTTGGGACAGGAGCCAGGGGCAGGGAAGGAGGTGGGGGAAAGTAGTTACCAGGAGGGGAGCAGTACCCACAGGGTATGACCAGGGTGCTACGAAGGGTGGTTTTGGTGGCACCTGGTGGGAGGAAGCCAGATCTGGGAGGCTGGGCGCTAAGTGGTGCAGGATCTGCAGCGGAAACGGAGAGTGGTGGACAGAGTCGAGGAGCAAGGCCAGGGAGGAGGCAGCTACAGGACAGGACCAGCAGAGCTCGGGAAGCTGCAGGCCAGGAGGCGCTGAGGCTGCCAGGGGGAGATGGTCCCACTTGCAAAGTAGGCAGGAGGGAACAAGCATGGGTCAAGGTGGGCTCAGGGCAGGTGATCTTGTGTGCCCTGGAGGGACAGGTGAGAGGAGGGACATTGGCCTCTAGAGGACCCACAGGGTGGCCTGAAGCTCATCAGGAAAGCCAGAGGCAATGAGGGAGGTAAGGGACTGGCCAAGAGTCCAGGCCAGGAGAGAGCCTGGTCCTGGCCCAGCTCTGCTAAGCAGAGGGGTCCAGCCCAGGCTGGAAACAAGAGGAGGAAGGGCTGACTGGCATCAGGGTGGCACTTCTCCAGTTCAGTCCAGTCTCCGCTCTGAACAGGAGGTCAGAGGAAGCTCAGAAGGAGCCATCCCATGGGGCAAGCAGGAGCCACCGTGGCCCGAGAACAGAGTGAGTAACTGACTCAGCCACCTCGCTGGCAACAAGGCCCCACATGGCATCCAGGGCCCTGCCTGGTGGTGACAGGGAAGAATTTCCACAGTGCCAGCCTCAACCCTGAGGTCACAGTGGGCCTAGCCAGGGCTTAGCACAGACTTACATGCTCTGCCCAGGACAAGGCTGGGCCAGACGGGTGCAGGGAGGGAACAGGTATGAGTGCCCTCGGCCCCACAAAGGACCAGGGTAGAACCAGCAACTTCCCAGGAAGGAGACTTGGGTGGGGGAAAGTTGGGATGAAGGGGAGAGGGGAGAGGGACAGCAAGGGGAATATCGGAGGCCCTCTGACACTGTACAGTGCTCTACCATTTACATGGGGACTTCGCTGTTGAATAAAACAGCCATGAGACCACAGGGGTTGCTATTTTCACACACTGCTGTCCTGGAAGCCCCACACCAAGCAGGGCATCTGACCCGCAGGTGATGAACAAACGACCAGGGAAAGGTCACTCTTTCTCAAAGAGGTGCTCCCGGACCACACACCCCAAAGCCACGCTGTCATCAAATGATATTCTCTTTTTCAGTGTTTCTGTCCTGTCTTTGTTTTTTTTTTTTCAGATGGAGTTTCACTCTTTTTGCCCAAGTGCGATGGCATGATCTCGGCTCACCACAACCTCTGCCTCCCTAGTTCAAGTGATTCTCCTGCCTCAGCCTCCCGAGTAGCTGGGATTACAGGCGTGTACCACCATGCCCAGCTATTTTGTATTTTTGATAGAGATGGGGTTTCTCCATGTTGGTCAAGTTGGTCTTGAACTCCCGACCTCAGGTGATCCGCCCGCCTCAGCCTCCCACAGTGCTGGGATTACAGGCGTGAGCCACCGTGCCTGGCTGTCCTGTCTTTCCCCTAGATTGTCATCTGGCAACTTTCTGGAAAGGGATGGAGGAGAAGGAAAATAAAACTGGCCAGGAGACAAGAGACATCACTTGCTGTTGTCAAACCCCAGCTCCCTGGGAGGCTTTGAGATCCTCCCTGACCGCAAGAGATCCACAGTGGCTCCTCCAGGACAAAGGCACCCCTGCCTCCTCCCCAGTTACTGGTCCTGGGGCGAGGGGACCCTCTCTCGGACTCCCAGCCACCCCCAGCCTTGTCTCCACCCCCACACAGGTTGCAAGCCCGACTCACGTTCTTGCCACGGTCCTGGCTGGGCTCCTCCGGGGCCAGCTCGCCAATAAGCAGGGGTTTCAAGAACTTGCTCACGAATTTCAGGTTAGGGTGGAAGGCATGGAAGACATCCTAGAGGGCAGAAGACAGTGGTGAGCCTGAGACCTGACCTCTGTCTGCTCTCAGGCCCCAGGGAGGACAGTGTTCTCCAGCAGCGGCTCTATCTGTGCACCCAGACACCAAACGGCATCTCCTGTGATCTGGCCCCAAATGCTGTCTCCGGCATTTTTCCAAGACAGAGCCCTCAGTGTCCAACGTCAGTGGCAATCGCCACCTGGGCTTCTGTGCTGGTGCCAGCACGCTAAACTCCCCGGGGGTTTGTGGGTAGATGCACAGGCTGCCTTTGGGCAAGTCGGGGAATGATGCCCCTCCAGGAAGGCGCACCACGCCGCACAAACCGTGCCATCCCCCATCTCTTGTCAGTTCCTCACATACACGTCCAGGGTTATCAGTGAAAAGAACAAGACCGAATACTACCATGGCATTGGAAAGGTGCTGAGGAGATCACACCAACAAAAACTAAACACAGAATTACGTCAAAAGCATTCCTGAAAAAGCCTGGGAGGAGCCGGACCATTATGATACATGTTAAGGTAGTTGGTTATACCTTGCTTTATTTTCGTTATTTTCCAAGCTCTTAACACTGCTATCACGGTACACATTTTCATCTTTTTCCCCAATTATAAAGTAAAAATATGCTGAGTTTTGGCAAAGTTAGAAAAAGCACAGCAGAATGAAGAGGAAAATAAATATCACCCAGAAAGTGATCACTATTACTAATATTTCAGCACTTTTCCTTCCAGCTTTGTTCTATACATATCATGCATATTACACGAATCGCCTCATAAAAAACCTGGCATTTCTATTAGAGATGAGCCAGCACCATGCAATAGAATGTCCCGGTGGTGAATGCTTTTTTAATCTGCATCACATCAAGCTCCCTGACACTGGCAGGGTTGAGGAACCAGTCAAGCTGCACCATGAGAAACAATCAGAAAAATCAGCGGAGCTGGGGAAAAAAATACGGGTTTGTGAAAGAAAAAAAAAAAAGTAAGGAAAGATGGTCTAGATTAAAAGAGTCTAAAATGATATAAAAACTGCAACTCTTGACCAGTCGCAGTGGTTCATGCCTGTAATCCCAGCACTTTGGGAGGCTGAGGCAGGAGGATCACTTGAGGCCAGGAGTTCAAGATCAGCCTGAGTAACATAGCGAAACCCGTCTCTACTAAAAATAAACAAAATTAGCCAGGCGTGGTGTCCTGCACCAATAACCCTGGTTACTTGGGAGGCTGAGGCAGGAAGATACAGTAAGATGACACCACTGCACTTCAGCCTGGGCAACAGAGTGAGACCCTGTCTCAAAAAACAAACAGGCTGGGCACAGTGGCTCACGCCTATAATCCCAATACTTTGGGAGGCTGAGGCAGGGGGATCACCTGAGGTTAGGAGTTTGAGATCAGCCTGGGCAACATGGTGAAATCCCGTCTTTAATAAAAATACAAAAATTAGCCAGGTATGGTGGTACACACCTGTAGTCCCAGCTACTCAGGAGGCTGAGGCACAAGAATCCCTTGAAACCAGGAGGTGGAGTTTGCAGTGAGCCAAGATTGTGCCACTGCACTCCAGCCTGGGCAACAGAGTAAGACTCTGTCTCAAAAAACAAACAAACAAAAGACACCCTGCAATTCTTTAATCTGAAAAGCTCTCGCTTAAAGGAAAAAAAAATGAGTTACACAAGGCTTTTCGGGGGATGAATGAGAAAAAGTGAACATGGAGCAGATATTCGATTATATCAAGGAATTACCATTAATTTTCTGAAATGTGACAAAAGTACTGTGATTATGTTAAAGCATCTCTTTCTTTTTCTTATGAAATAATGAAGACTTTAGGGATGTGATCACATAATCACGAAACATTTTCAAAAGCAAACTGCACATGTATAAAGAGGAAAAATGCAAATGTGGCAAAATGTTATAACTAGTGAATCTTGGCTGAGGATACACAGGTGTTTGCTTATTCTTCCCACGTTTCTGGATGTTGGGAAAATTTCAAAGTTAAAAAAGGGAGGAGGTGGAGAAAGTACTGATCACTCGTTGAAATCTCTTCACCCCCACACGTAAAGATCTCCCAAGGGTAACTCCCAGTCTCCCATCGTCTCCTCACGGCATCCCTGGCACCAGGTTCTTTGCTTGGTCTTTGTTCTATTTGTGTCTAGAACAGACTGACAAAGCAACACTTTGTGCAGGAGAAAACTGGGCCCACAGTTTTTTAAAAAAATGCCTATACCCCACTAGCAGACAGAAAAGGAATGATAGCAGAGGATCAGGTCAAGTGTATTTTCAGGGAAAAGGGATGTGCTGTTTCAGGTCCCTGGCGGCAGGCAGGAAGGAGGCTCTGGGGGTGGGCAGGAGGAGGCCCGGGTTGCAGTGGTGACCAGCTTTGCCTTCTCTGGGTGGGGTGAGCCATCCCCACCAGAGCCTCAACCGCCTCTGCAAAATGAGCAAGGCCCTGGGAGAGGCCAGAGGAGTTGCCAAAGTCAGGGCTCAGGGCTGGGCCTGAAAAAGCCCCTTCATTGGTCCTCCTCACATCACGCCACGGCCTTTGAGAAATGAACAGGAAGTCCCTGGTAAAGCAGTTTCCTGAGAAGCAGCTGCAGTGGCTGATAACTAATGGATTCCTCTTGTTTCATTGAGAGGTAAGATTCAGTGGCTTGCAAATGCACTCATCTCTGCTACTGCTGCCTCATGCCGCAACCCCTGCAGTCCAGGTTCCAGCTCCAAGGGGAGCAGAAGGATGACAGAGCCCTTCCTTGTTCCTCAGCCATTTCCAGAGGGCCCTCGGGCAGCCTCACCTCCCTGAGGCCAGGGGTAACCCCCATGAGCCAGGCAGGGAGCCAGGAGTTATTCATGTTACTCCCTTAAGCCTCAAAGCCTAGCTCTTGAGAGGAAGATGGGGAAGCTCAGGAAGCAAAGTACTGGGCTCCAAGTGGCAGAGCCAGGTCCATCTGCCTCTAGGGACTTCTTTCTCATGTGCCACATGCTTCCTGCCGTTTCAGAGAAACGAGCATTCTGCTGGATCGGCTCCTCATCTGCGGTCAATCTGGCAGATTTCCAAGCAGGCCTGGTATGGACCACCCTTGAACATGCCACACTCCATTCCACACCAGGGCCACTTCCATTCACAACTCAGCCTCAACATCACCTCCCAGAGGCTTTTCCCAACATCACATCTGAAAGAGCTCTGCCAACCCTGGGTCTTCCTGGGTCATTGCCCTGTTAGATTTTCTTCATAGCAGTTATCAAGGTTCATCATCAGACCGAGTGACATACCCACTTGTTTATGGCCTGTGTCCCCCACTGGAACGTAAGCCCCCTTGGGAAGGCCTATACCTGTCCCGTTCGCTGCAATAACCCCAGTGCCGGCAACGGGGCCAATTAAGGTGGCTCACAAGGGAATGAAGGGACCCAGGACCCCGCAGCTGCACACACTCTGATCTCATCCTTTTCCACTGTGCAGTCATGATCAGACATTTGGCCTCTTCCATGTTTCACACAACTTGGCTTCTGCCTCTGGAACTCCAAAAGTCTTCTCCAGTATCCCCACTGGTGGCTGCTACAGCTGCCACCTGCTGAGGTGACATAGACACACCACAGAGCCATGGGAGTGGCTTGCATATATCAGCCACGAGTCTTTACCAAACTTCGTGAGGCAGGTCCTTTTTTAGAGATGAGAAACAAGGCGTAGGTTGGCAGAGCCACCTGCCCACCCTCACACTCAGGGATGAAAGTTTGAGTCACGCGTGGCTACCTTGAGCGTTGCCCGCCGTTCATGCAAAGGCTTCCTTCAGCATGAGCGTCCGCCTCCTTGGGAGTTGATCATATTTTTGTGTGTCTTGCCATAAATGTGTCTCACACACTGGCAGAAGCTTCCCAGCGTCTGCCGGGTTACAGAAATATCTGGCAGGTAGCAGGCAGACCAGGATTCAAGGCAAGGCAGGGCCAACCCAAACACTGTCTTTGGAACAAGAATTGGAACCAGGCTCCATCCTTGCCTAAAAGGAGAGAAGCCAGAGACTTTCCAGGAAGAGGACCCAGGACATGGGGAAGAGGAGAGGCAAACAGGTGGAGAAAGCAGAGCTGCACCCACTCTAGCAGGGCAGGTGTGTGGGGGGTGGGGAGGTCAGAACACCCAGATTCCAAAGCGCATGTCACATTTCACTCTTTGCCAGTTCCTGCTTGTCATCGCCCAGCTCTGATGCCAGTTGACTTCTCCATACAGACATTTTCCCTGCCCCTGCCCCACTCTGGGTACAACTCATAGTGGCTCGCCATGCACTGAGCACCTGGTGCCAGGATGTATTTATGGCTGTGCCCACGTCCTCTGCAGAGCAAGGCTAATCTCTAATTGGATGTTGCACAACCGGGCACTTCACCCTGGACTTCGGAAGTGCAGGACGGACAAGCTCAGGACATAGTGTGGTAGGCGGCAGCCCTGGGGATCAGAACTCTGTGAAACAGGTGCTTTAAGAGTGGGGAGATACATAGGTGGGACTCTGGTGTTCTCCGGTGGAAGTGAAGAGCAAGACAGGGATGCTGACTTCCTTTCTGCAGCAGGGAGAGGCAGGCAGGGCAAGAAGCCCCCGTGCTATATCCCCTCCAAGGAAAGAAGCAATGGAGGCTGGTGGGGCAGTGCTCTGTGGCCAAAGGGCCCCGCAGTGAGAGCCTCCCCCATAACACAGGGTCCATACACTACCCTGAAGGTGGAAAGGCGGTGCTGCACAGGAGATAGGCCCCTGCTAAGGCAACCTGGGCATGAAGGAATTAATACCAGTCGCCACTTTCATCTCAGAACTGGGGATGCTGAGGCTGCAGCCACAGGAATTGCACGGCTCCCACTCAGATTTCAGCGGGGGAGATGGAGCTGCCTTCCAGGCCTGGGAATTCATAAAGCTGGGGCTGGAACCCAGGTCCCCTGCCTCTAAATACCACAACCCTCCTGCCCTATCCAAAGGAGGCCAGAGTTCCACTAGGAGCGGGTTGAAAGGTGGAACAAACCTCTGGTCTCTTCTCACTTTCCCTTGATTCTAAGAGGTCACCAAGGCAGACCGGGCAGCAGCAGTTGCTGAGACAAGGGCTGGGGCTGGGGTGCTGATGTCTAGAGGCAGAGGGTCCAGATCCAAGCTCCAGCTGGAGAGAGAGTGAGGGGAGCACCTCCTGCAGCTTCAGGTCTCTGTCTGTGAATAATTCATCGTTGTGTCCCAGCCCAGCTCAGAGCCATGGAGTCACTCAATGAATGTTTGATGAATTGTTGCTGAAGAGGAGCAGTTCCACAGTGATGGGACTGCTGTGAACGAGCAGACACACTTTTAGGGCGCGGGTGAGGGTTCCTTTTGCCCACCGCAAGGAAAAGACGAGAGAAGCACTGCAGTACCAAAGGGAAGAGATCAGAGGTGGAAACAGGAAGAGAAGGAAGGTGAGCTGGGAGGGCGTGAGGTCAGATCCTGAGTTTAGGTCTGAGTGCTGCCCTTGAGCCAGCTTGATGCGTCAGAGCAATGAGTGAAGCCGACTGGGCTGATCCAAACACCAAGTGAAGTGATACATATGAAGGTGCTTTGTGAGCTGCAAAAATCAAGCAACTTTTATTATTAGAGGTAAGGCCAGGGTTCAACTTCTATGGAAGGACCACGTAACAGTTGCCCCGTTCTTCTGGGGATACGGTTCCTGACTACCTGGTTATTTTCCTCCTCAGAAAAAAGAAAATGCCCTATTAAGATGTCTGATAGGCCGGGTGTGGTGGCTCACGCCTGTAATCCAAGCACTTTGGAGGCCAAGGTGAGCGGATCACCTGAGGTCAGGAGTTCAAGACCAGCCTGACCAACATGGTGAAACCCCGTCTTTAAAAAAGAAAATAGAAAAAGTATTTAGTTTTTTAAATTTTTTATAATTTTAAAAAAAATTAAAAAAAAAAAAAAAAAGACATCTGATAGTCCCAAGAATGGCTTCCTTGACTTCCAACCTGTTCTCAGCCTTGCATTTGGAAGACTGCAGTGATGGGCTCAGAACAATGCCTGAGAATGTTCCAGGGAATCCAGCCTCTGTCTTTGGATCAGTCTCTCCCCAGACTGTGCCTGGTCCGTAAATTCTCACTCCCCACACTGTTGGGGAGAAACTGTCTCCCCAAAGGGCAAAGCAAAGCCACTTGCTCAATAACCTAGGCAAATGTCACTGGATTCCAGTAGCCTGTTCCTGCCTGTCTCTTTAGGTCCTCTTCCCACACATCCCACCCACCCCATGCCACTCAAGGCCTTTTTCCAACCTGGTCCTGGACACTTAAAAAAATAAAAAAGAAAAAAAACAAAGAACCCAGCTGCTCACTCCACCATCATTCAACTGTATCTCCAGTTCGTGTATTTCATGCCCCAAAAGTCTTACTTTAGAAGACAGGAAGCTTTGGGGACAGGGGTTGTTTTTATGTCTTGCAACACCAAATAAAGCTAGCGTAGATTTAAATTTTTTCTTCCAAATTCCTCTTTGCATACTTTCCATTCTAGCTGTTTCATAATCCTCGTTCTTATTCCCGTTTGCCTGATAACACCCCACTGAATTCATCTAGTGCTTACGGTTGCTTCGGTGCTTTGCCACAAATCAGTCTCGTTGAAACAGGTACAGGTGTACCTTATAGATGAGGAGGGGGTCTCAGTCAAGTGACAACACTCAGTGGATGAGCCCAGTAATGACATCTTCTTTCTTCAATTTCAGGTCTGTTTGCAGCCCAGGTTGGCTCCCGCCCTAGCTTCTGAGAGTAACAAAGCAACCAACATCCAAGATGCCAGATTTATAGTCCATGAGCGTGATACAGAAATCTCTGGAGCTGGACCAGAAATGAAGAGACTGTTACATTTTTATGAGATAGAGATGAGATCAAGGAAGAGGAAGTCATCCTAGTCCTCTGCCAGGAGAGATGTGAGCACTGATTTTTGGAGGGAACTCAGTGTTAAGGTCAGGTATGCACTGAGAAACATACAGATCAACGATGAAATAATCAATCTGATATGGTAATTAAGCTGAAAAGTTTGCGGCAATTGTCAGACTGAGCGTTCACATAAGAAAATATGTTTAACAAGATGGAATAATCAGACCAAATACATCAGATTTGACCTCTCCTTCTGGGAAACTTTTTGGCAAGGGCCTGGACAGGGCAGGAACCTTCTACAATTTACCTGTGAAATCAGAAATAAACCAGCCCAAATCCAGCAACATATAGTGGAAGGACCCCTCCCCGCCCCAGGATCCAGAAGGTCTTTTACTTAGGAATTACCTTTACCCAACCTCCTCACTGGGTTGTGGAAAGGTCCAGGTGAGACGGCGCTGAAGGTATGTGAAACATACCCACCTAAGTTCTAAATAGCATCACGAACCCCCTGGCTTTCGCAATGTCCACAAGCAGGTTAAACAGGATGGGGCTGAAAGCTAGCTTTCCCAATTTTAGATAATCCCTGGTCCTGCTCCGACACGCCACCTGTCCACTGACCAGCTTGGGTTATGGAGGCCTGGTCTGGCCTCCCCCTAGGCCTGTCTCCATGAGATGCAAGAGGCCGGGAAGTCAAGGTCCGGCCTACACAGCTTGGAGGCAAACGCCCACAAACAGGCCCGCATCCTAGACGTCCAGGTGGAACGATCTATGCCAAGTTTATCCCTCCTTTTCGCATCTCCCTTCCCAATTTCACCTTCCCCAATTTCTCTATCCCATCAGACCTTTTTACTATGCATCCAATTCACTACCACCAAGAGCCGCCCTTACTTCTCTCCTTGACTCTGTTCTTTTCCCTCTAGCCCATTCGAATCCATGGGGTAGCAGCTGAACCTTTGAAGAAACGCATGGATTTCGGACAGGGGGGCCGGGTGAGAGTAGGCGTGCGGTGTAATGACTGAGCCACGCATTTGGGGTGGGTAAGGTGAGCGGCCCTGGCTCCAGAGAGGCCCACTACCTCTAGGAGTGCAAGATGAATAAAGGGCGTTCTTGGCAGGATTTAAAAACAGAGCGCCATTGAGTTGAACGCCCGAGAGTAACCTCGAGTGCAGATGGACCTGTTGCCCAGCCCGCCTAGTGCTGCTAAATCCACCGGCTCAAGGCCTCACACGACCTGGGCTTTGCAAACTCCAGCCCGTTCTCCTTCCACCAATCCCCGACGCTGGTCTCCAAGAAAGCCGACCGGAGCTTAGGGTGAGTCTAGATAATCCATGGAGCGTGGGAACCCGAGCTACCGGGCGGTTTTTCCCAGGCGGCCATTGCGGGCCTTCTTAGACAAGAGTTCCAGCAGGAGCGAGTCCCAGCTGGGCTTTCTTTCTCCGACACCTAGTCTGGATGGAGAGCGGGAGACAAGCGCGGAGTCCCACACCGGGCTGCCTGCACTCCCGCTCCTTCCCGCGGTCTGCAGGGGCGGCCATCTTCCACACTGGGGGCGCCAAAGCCGTCAGGCCCTAGCGCCCCCCTCGGGGAGTCCCTGGCTCCGGGCGAACCCCGCGGGAGGGGCGGACGCATGGGTCCCGGCGCGCGCGGTAGATGCTGCCCCGTTCTGCACTGCTGGGACCTTCACCGCAGCGCTGCCTCCCGGGGTCCCAGATTCGGTCTCCACCCCAGTTGGCCTAGAGGGGAAGGAGGAGGATTGGGGCGGGGATACCAGTGCAATAGATGCACTTTTCTTCCCTACAGGACGTCCCAAGCTCCATTCAGCGCCGGAGGTTTGTTTGGCGCCGGGGGAGCCGGGGCTCCTGACTCCTCCTGCAGCAAAGAAGGGCGGCTGGGGCGCCCCCAGACCCTTACCGTTGCATCTTCTCCAGCGTAGTGCCCGATGACCCTTTGGCCCCCCGGGTGCCGGAGGGACCATTCGGTGATGTTGTAAACCTTGCGGTCAATGACCAGCCACCTGTCGGTGCGCAGGTTATGCTTCTGAATCTCCTCCCAGCTGAAGGTGGGCATCGTCGCCTCGCGCTCGGCGACCCCCTCGCCCTGGTTCCCCCCCTTCCCCATGCTGCCTGAGGATCGTGACTCCCCGCGCCCTGCGGCTTCCCCGCGCCGGCTGCTCGCTGCACAGACAGCTGTCTCCCAGCCGGTGTGTGCAGCCCAGGCCCTCTTCGCTTTCGGCTTTTGTCTTCTGCTACTCCTCCTCCCACAGCGCCCCCTCCCCCAGCCTCCTCGCCCGCGCCTAGGAGAGTCCCTGCCTTCTCGGCAGAGGATATCTGGCTTCCCAGTGCCCCCAAGCGGTCCCCTTTCTCCGCCCCTCCCTCAGCCCGCCCGCTGTGGACTTTTGCCTCCAGTAAAAACTCCCCGGGAGCTCAGGGCCTCGACACCTCCTCCGCCCGCCCCTCGGGCTCCCCCCGCCCCGGGTTCTGCATCCTCCCGCGTTCCCCGCCGCCCGGGTTTCCACAGTGATCAGCAGAGCGCCTGCACCAATCGGGTCGCGTCGCCCCGCCTGCCATTGGCCCAGGAGGATCTTTCGAAGGCCAGCGGGCTGGAGCGGCGGGTCCCCGGCTCCCCCGCCCTCCCGCGTGGAGTCGAGCCCTGCTGCGAGACCGGCTACGTGTCGGACCTCCTCCCTCCCCCACGCTCCGGCCCCGGGCGCCGGAGGAGATCCCAGAGGAGAGCCGGGTGGGGGCGGTGATTGGGCTCCGCGAGCTCCCTGGCGCGTGCGCGCACGCCCGGCGCTCTGGGGGTTTGCACCTGATGCCCACACAAAGCGGGCGCGGTCACCCGGGTGCCAGCAAGCGGGCGGGCGGGCTGGGGGACGTGAGCTTCGGGTCGAGGCACTCAACTCCAGGACCAGCTTGGCTAGGCGACGCCCTTCCTTGGCGCGCGGCGGTCGAGACTCCAGTGTCCCACATTGTCGTCACCATCCACATTCTGGCGCCCTCCTGCAACCTCCCTGGAGACACGAGCCGGCCTTCGGTTAGAGGGCTTCGAACCTTCTAATCAAACGATCTTAGAAAAGAATTGCGGAACCTCTGCTCGGCTTTCTTGGGCTGGGCGCCATGGCTGCGGTTTGGGGGAAGGGAGGGTAAAAGAAAGGAAGGGGGCGACGAGGAACTGGCGCAGGCCTTGCCCTGGTCTCAGTAAGCTCCGTCTCGATGGGAGACCTGGAAGCAGACACTCCATTGGGCAGTAATGTTGTACAGACTCCAGGAAATAAAGACTGCAGTATCAAAGGGATGGGGGAGGGTTAAGTTTTTTTAGGCGTGGGTCGAGGCAGGCCCCCCAGACCCCAGCTGGATGGGGCGACTTAGTGGCCGGCGCCCTGGGGAAATAGACCTGGCTGCATCCGGAGGGCTGACGGGACACGTGGGAAGTAAGGATGAACAGAGCAGGTGGGGTGTGGGAGCTTGGGAATCATTAGAGGAGTTATAGGGCCCTGGGATTTCAATGGGATTTACAGGACAGTGTGTGCTAGCATATCGTAATCACTAGATTCTCATCACAGGCTGGGAAGCAAATGGGACCCTTTTTATAACATCTCACTTGAAAACGGAGAGCCTGAGATTAAGAGAGGTGGTCAAACGGGCCCCCTCCAGACATCACATGGAGGCAGGGGTGGTGGGGAGATCACTCTGGCCAACTGGTGGTGTTGTACTTGGGGGCCAGATGGGGGTCACTTTCCCGACATTCCCACAGTCCCCAACCTCCCCCACAGCATTTCCTGCTGGTGTCGGCCCTCAGCATCCTTCATTCACTCCACAAACTGCAGACATAAAGACAGCAGGGCCTCTCTGCCTTTGAGTGGAAACAGACATCCCAAACAAAAGCCTCCCGTACAAGATAAGAGAGAATGAAGCAAGACCCCCGGAGAGTACGGTGACCTTGATGCCTGTCAAAGATTGACTCAAAACCAAGAGCATTATTTTTTTCAAAAATGGATGAACACACCATATAGATAACTTTAATGAACGCTTGTAAAAGGCACAGAGCTCAGAGCAGGGAGTGATATCTGAAAGGGAGAACCAGGGAGTAACTCAGAGGGGAGACTTTGAAGGTTCAGGCCCTAAAAGGCAGCATGTATGGGTGGCCTGTGTGGGGTGGCTGAGAAGTGTGGACTGGCCAGGACCTGGGGCCCCCAGCGGCTCCCAGCATAGCACTAGCCAGGGTAGGTCCTGAAAAAAACATAAAAACATGTGTTGAAGACACAAATGGATGAATGCACTTTGAGGAAGGACTCCGGTGAGGCCAGCAGTAGAGGGGGCTCGAATTGGGAAAAGTCTGAGCTGCCTCAGTAAGGTGGGAGAATGGAAGACTTGACTGTGACAGAGGCTCGGACATCTGTAAAGCAGGTGTGCTGTGATCAGATCCATGGTGTAGAAAAAACTCCGGAGGCTGGGGCTGGGATGTAGGGGAGAAACTGGGGAACAGCGATGAGTTCAAAGATGAGGGCGGTGCTTGAGGAGAGGGGAGGGGAGGCCTAAATTAAGAGAGAACTTTAGGGGGCTGACCCCACACCGGACACTGCCGTGTGCCTCCCTGCCCTCTAATTTTTAAATTTTTTGTACATACAGCATCTTGCTATGCTGCCCAAGCTGGTCTTGAACTCCTGCTTCTGTCTTATCTCTTGCTCTCTCTACTTGGAAAGACTGATGAGACTGTTTTCCCGGAGAAAACCCCATAGTGTCCATCCAACCCAAAGCCACTTAGGAAAAGGGGTGATCTCAGGGGGGAACGAGGCTCCCATGGCTTCCTCCTGCCCCACAGAATCCCCCAAAAGCAGCACCAAGGACTGCAGCTTCCTGGGGACCTTGCCAGTACCTTGTTGTGATCATTGTACTGTACTTGATCAGGGACAAAAGAGACCGGCCTGGGTGGCTTGGAGCCCAGACTCTTTCAGGCAGCCAAGTGGGTAAAAGGCTGGGCTGGGTGGGGAGGTGCTTTGGGAGACGGGGCCTGGAAGGCTGGAGCCCATGCCACCCATTCAGCCCAATCCCCACTGAATGGGTGAGGGAGGCTTTCCATCTTGTCCTCACAAGGAGTCTGAGGTCTGCTGGAAGACTTGCAGGGTCTTAGGAGCAGAGACTGGCTAATCAGAGGGATAGTGAAAGTGAAAGGCATCCTTCAGCCATCCTGTGACACCGACATGAGCACCTGGCAGGCAAAGGACCAACAGAATACCTCTCCTGGCCTCTTCCATCTCTTCCTTTCCTTGGTTGATAAGTAATCTTTATCAACCAATCTTTTTTTTCTTTTTAATTTTTTTTTTTTAAATAAAGATGGGGTTTCACCATGATGGCCAGGCTGGTCTTGACCTCCTGACCTCAGGTGATCCACCCACCTCGGCCTCCCAAGTACTAGGATTATGGGCGTGAGCACCCGGCCTATCAACCAATCTTTAAAACATCTAAGTTGTGTCTTTCTCTAGCCATCCTCCCTATTTTTCACGGTCCATTCATTGTCAAATTTTGTGAAAATTTCTCTCTCTGGGTCCATTTTTTTTTCTTTCTTTCCTTCCTTCGTTCCTTCCTTCCTTCCTTTTCAAGGCAGGATCTTGCTCTGTCATCCAGGGTGAGTGCAGTGGCACAATCACGGCTCACTGTAGCCTCAACTTCCCAGGCTCAAGCCATCCTCCCAACTCAGCTTCCCTAGTAGCTGGGACTACAGGCATGCACCATCGTGCCTGGCTAATTTTCTACCTTTTTGTAGAGATGGGGGGTCTCACTCTCTTGCCCAGGCTGGTATTGAACTTCTGGACTCAAGCCTCCCACCTTGGCCTCCCAAAGTGTTGGGATTACAGGTGTGAGCCACTGTGCCTGGCCTCTGGGCCTACTTTCTGTCTCAACCATTTATCAGGTCATTGCAATCTTCTCTGATGCTAATAGTAAAGATAACGATCCTTCTGATTGGCTTATGAATCTAGGTGTGTGAAGGACTTTCAAATACTGGACAAAAGCATTTGCATGCTATCTGTGGCTGAGGAAGCATTCAATAGGTGGTGATTCTTTTTTTTTTTTTAAGATGGCGTTTCACCATGTTAGTCAGGCTGGTCTTGAACTCCCAACCTCAGGTGATCCCCCCACCTTGGCATCCAAAGTGCTTGAATTACAGGCATGAGCCACCACACCCAGCCGGTGGTGATTCTTATCTTTCTTCCTCTTAGCCTCATCCTCACGACAAGGCATAAGGTAGATATTATTACTCTGTCTTTCAGATGAAGACACTGGCGCTCATGGAGATGTCTGGCCCCTCCATCTGCCCATCATTGATCGAGTCTTGGAACGCAAACCCCAGACCCTGAAGGCAGCCCTCTTGGCCTGCTCCCATCAAGCCTCCTAGAACCCTCTCTGAAAAGTCAGCAAGTCCAGCCGTGCCTTCTCAGACCTCTTCAAGGCATCCACCCACCTGACGTCCTGAAATGCCATGCTTTCGGATTCACTGACAATGCATAGTCCCCAGTCTGCTGCTGGACCACCCTCTTCCTGCCTCCTCCACTTGTTTCTTTTCCTCTGCCTCCTCCCCTCCAAATGCTCTGGGCCCTTGGCTCACTCCGTGTTTTCTCCTTAGGGGAGATGACTGCATCTGGGATGATGTGGCTCAAGTGGACATCCACAGCCCTTTCCCAGAGCCAGAGTACATTTCCAGTCAGCTCTTGCACATGCAAAACTGAGCCTCCTGCTAGCAGCTCAAAGACAAACAGCCTTCTCGGGGCAAGGGAGAGGTCGCACCAGATGTGCTCTTGGACCTATCCAGGTCTAACCCTCACTGTTTCCGGCCCCAAACTGACATCATTATCATCATCCTTCCAAAAATCAGCCCTCCCTTTTAACTCCTTCATTTCTATTCCTGGTACCACTGTTCCTCCTGTGACTTGGTCTCAGTATTCCAGAATGTCTTTTGCTGCTTCTCATCTCCCCCCTCCCACCCTTGAAAAAACATTGTCATGTTCAGCAGATTGTACACCCAATGGTGTTTTCTTCTGCCTCCGTTGCCACCTGGGCTGGCAGAGGCTCCCTGACAGCCAGTGGTTGCACCCACTGCTACAGGGTCATCTTACTGACACCAGAGCTCACTGCCCCCAAATTTTCATTGGTTCCTTGTGGCTTAGACACTCAGTAGGGATGGGGGAGGAAGGAAAATGCAGTGGAGAAGAGCCGTGGAAGCAGCGGCACCATTTCTGCCCTTCCCTGCTGGCTCCTAAAGGCCCCTTGGGGAAAGAGCCCTGGAATAGAAACCCAAAGACATAAACTCTAGTCCTGGCTCTGCGGCCACCCACTTTTGAAATCAGTTTCATGTCCGGTCAAATCAGATGATTAGATTAGATGCTAAGTTTCGGCTGGCTCCAACATCATAAATATGTGTGGATGGCATATCTATAGACAGGTGTGGGCATCATTTAACTTGCATCATACCAATTTTAAAAGTGCTTTTTCTATCAATTATTTCAAATGATTGTCACAACAGCCCTTTGAGGCAAGCAGGATGTGTGTGTATCGCTTTTTTACAAATGGAGAAACTGAGCATGGAACAGGTTAAATGAGTAGCTGGAAGTAACCCTAGTTAGAGAACAGAGTATACTTTGGAATCAGACCTAAAAAGTCAAACTCCAATGACTTAACTTTGCAGAGCTTCCATTTCCCCAATATCACATGAGGCTCATCAAGTAGTGCCCACTTCTGTGTTGCCTCTTTTGGGTCACACCTCGTTTGGGCACCAGCAGTGAGAGTCAGCCACGCTGCAAATCAAAGGCTGGGAGGTGGGGGCTGGATGCTAGCTTGCTAACACCCTGAGAGGGTCTCTCAACCTGAGACCCTCAACCCAAGAGGGTCTCTCAACACTACCTCAAGCAAATCATGGCCTCCTAATGCTGTGTCTCTCGGCAAACACTAAGGTGAGAGGAGGGGACCCAGATACAGCAAAGGGGGATTACAGCGGGATCCCCCAGGATCTTGACTCTGAGACCCTTTGGAGCTCTTTGACCCAGTAAGCCTCACCTCAAATGCTCAAATTTGCTTGTGGTGTTGGATCAGGTCTTATCAGGCATATTTGTCTTGGCTGTTATCACTAAGGCACTGACCTCAGCTCTGAGAGTCCAGATGTTTTCGGAGTCAAGTTGGCGTATGGACAACTTTAAGAGGCTGGGGAGGGGCAGAGGAGGCACTACCAAGCAAGAGAGCCTGTGGCAGCCACAGGGGCAGCACTGAAGCAGAGGAGGAGTATGGTTGAGGTGCTGGCCAGGCAGGAGCCCTCAGAAATACACAGTCAGAGGCACAGACCAAGAGGCCACAAGGTAGGAGTGCTCTACCTTGGGGCAGAGAGCAGCCTGGTAACTCTCTGGCTTGACCTTAAGTCAAGGAAACTGAAGCCCAGAGATTGGCTTATCCAAAGTCACACAGTGGGAAATCTGAGAGGTTTCCTATTTCTAAGACTAGGATGGTCTAAGCGTCTGGATCCACCCTCTCACCGAAAACACGTAAAAATCCTCAATAAAATATATAAAGCATCACTGAAATGCAGCAGTTATGAATTGCTTCATCTGTGCAAAGGTTTATCAGATTTGGTTGACCTGTCCCTGTGCTAATGAGCAGTATCCCTCACCTTTGGGTCTTGCCCCCGGGGGCGATGACACCGTACCCTAGCCCCACCACTTAATGTCATCTCCATCTGAAGGCCGAGTGGAGCAGGGGCAACTAGATGACAGCACACTAAGGTAAGAAGTTGGCCGCATGGGGACAGGGTAGGCTCAAGTTCACTGCCCTCATTTGCCCGCTTGGCTCTTTTCTTTCTTGTAAATAAAATGGTTTTGAGTAGATAGCCTCTTAATTCCTCTCTCGTCTGTGATTCTGCTTTCTCCAAGGGCAGTAGGTTGCTTCAAGCTCAAGGCTTAGGCGGTCAGCGTGCGCTCCAGTGCTGGCTTCTAGAAGGAACCTCCTGCAGTCTGGAGGTCTCTGAGTCATCTGGGAATGCTGTCTGGACTGGTACCGGCAGACTGGCAAACACTCGAGAGCTTCCTGCCTGCCGGAGTCTGTCCCAGAGTAAAAGATGCTTCTGGTCTCATCTCTCCTCACCTCCTGTCTCTGGCCCTGACCCCAGGTGTGGCGCAGGGAGGGTCCTCCTTATCCATCTCTGCCATTGCTCTAAGCCCTCAGTGTCAAACCTACACCTCTCCCACCCTCAAAGAGATCCCCAGATCTGCCAAGCAACTCCTCCTGCTGATTGTCTCAAAAGTATATTTCCCCCTGCCAGCCCTAGGCTCTGCCCAGGTCCAACCATCTGCATGTTCCTGCCAGAGCTCTGCACCCAGAATTGAAGAACCTTGGTGGTCTGGCGCCTACCTCACTTTCCTGGCTCTTTTCTTTCCTCCAGTCATCCTTCCCTCTGGCCATGCAGGGTGGCTCATGGTTTCCCACGCATGGCCATGGTCTGCCAGTCCTCCTGGCTCTTGGTCCATGCTCATCTCCTGGCCAGAGTGCCCTTCCCCACCTTGGCTGCCTGCAACTCCTACTCCACCTTAAGATCGAGCTGGTGATTGGCCTCCACTGTGGCCAAGTCAAAGCACTTTATTTTTTGAGATGGAGTCTCATTCTGTTGCCCGGGCTGGAGTGCTGTGGTGTGATCTCGGCTCACTGCAACCTACACCTCCTGGGTTCAAGCAATTCTTCTGCCTCAGCCTCCTAAGCAGCTGGGATTACAGGTACATACCGCCATGATAGGCTAATTTTTGTATTTTTGGTTGACCCACCATGTTGGTCAGGCTGGTCTCGAACTCCTGACCTTGTGATCCACCCGCCTCAGCCTCCCAAAGTGCCGGGATTACAGGTATGAGCCACCGCGCCCAGCCACACTTCTTCTATACATGGCATAGAATTATGTGTGCGTCTCCCTCCACCAGCCAGCCTGTAAGTTCTCTGTGAGAAGAGGCTGAGTCTGATCAGCGTGGAGTCCTTGGTGTGGGCCACATGCTGGATGCACATTAAACATTTGTGGAATTCAACTCCAGAGAGAGCTCTGGGGAAAGTCTGAGCAAGGGGCCTCGCACCTGAGCAGTGGATGCATCCTGTGTTGTGACCCTGTGGCTGGGCTGAGATTCCAGGCTCTGGAAGTAAACATGGTGCAGTGGTGTAGTGAAAGTCATGTCCTCAGGTTAAAAAAGCACCCCCCAACCACCCCACATCACATTCCAGCTTTGCCTGTCAACGGCTTACTGCATGCCCTGGGACAAGTCACTTCATTCATTCATTGGTATATGTGTTCGGCATTTAATGGGCATTGTGGTGGCTTTGTAGTGTCAACTTAGCTAAGCTGAACTACGTTGCCCAGAATTCCTTTGCCTAGAGGGTTGTGGGTTGGCGGAGGGGTGCAGGAGAGAAATGTTCACAAGATTTGGAAAGTGGAAGGACAGCACAGCCGTTTTTGCTGTGCTCTGAGGCTGTGCAGGGCAGGTGTGCAGCACCTCCCCTAAGCTGCTGCTGAACATTGGCTTATCGTGTTGACCCGGAGCAGCTGCAAGGCCACAGGTCATCCAGCTCCTGGACGAGGTGTGTGGCTCTGGAATGAAGATCCCCAGTTTGTCCCTCAGGGCCCTGGCGTCATGGAGACTGCAGGTGCTGAGAGCCAGATGCTGTTGCAGTTTGTTCTTTATCGTTCCCACTTCACATCCAGCCTCTCTCCCTGAGCCAGCCCAGCTGTCCTCAGGCCCAGCAGAGACACAGAGATAACCCCTTACACAGACCGACCGACCATCTCCCACCATCAAGGAGTTCTGACCCCTGGAGAAACCCCTTATTCTCTATGGCTCACTGGAGCTTGGCTTCTGATGGAGCCGCAGTGGATCCTCTGTGACAGGCACCCTCCTCGTTCGTGGAGATGGGAAAATAAGCAAGGCGTCACTCTGCCGGGGCTCAGGTTTCTCAGTTTTATCAGGAGGGCGGAGGGGCGACTGGATGATCTGTAAGGTTCCCAACTGCTCTGTCAAAGGTGTGATTGGACCAGCCCCCAAGTGAAAGGCACATGAAGCCACTGTCTGCACACCCATGGCTCAGGAAACTCCTGCTCCTGGGACAGGACAGCAAGAGTCAAGAAACCACCCAGAGTCCGGGTGTGGCGGCTCACACCTCTGATCCCAGCACTTTGGGAGGCTGAGGTGGGCAGATCACCTGAGGTCAGGGGTTCCAGACCAGCCTGACCAACATGGTGAAACCCTATCTGTACTACAAATACAAAATTTAGCTAGGTGTGGCAGCAGGTGCCTGTAATTCTGGCTACTCAGGAGGCTGAGGCAGGAAAATCACCTGAACCTGGGAGGCGGAGGTTGCAGTGAGATCACACCACTTCACCTGCACTCCAGCCTGGGCAGCAAAGTGAGATTCCATCTCAAAAAAAAAAAAGCCATCAGGAGCCAGGCTTTGATGACCTTGAGGCTGTATCTGCCCCAAGACTAAAGAGAGACCTTTGGGCTCTGACCACCAGTTAGTTTAGCCAAACAGCCACTTGCTATTTTTCTTTCTTTTTTTTTTTTTTGAGACAGAGTTTTTTTTTTTTTTTTGAGACAGAGTTTCGCTCTTGTTACCCAGGCTGGAGTGCAATGGCGCAATCTCGGCTCACCGCAACCTCCGCCTCCTGGGTTCAGGCAATTCTCCTGCCTCAGCCTCCTGAGTAGCTGGGATTACAGGCACACACCACCATGCCCAGCTAATTTTTTGTATTTTTAGTAGAGACGGGGTTTTACCGTGTTGACCAGGATGGTCTCGATCTCTTGACCTCGTGATCCACCCGCCTCAGCCTCCCAAAGTGCTGGGATTACAGGCTTGAGCCACCGCGCCCGGCACTTGTTATTTTTCTTTCCATTAATCCTGAGGTCAAAGACCTTCCATGCTGTGTGCAGGAAGCGGGAGGTTTGCAACCTCTATACTGTGCTTTTAAAAACTCTATCAGTAGGGAAGGAATAGCTTATTAAAAAAAAAATTCAATCTGTCACAGACGGACACTTTCTTAAAATACAACAAAAATACCTGAACCCAGATTTTTTTTTTCAGACAGAGTTTTGCTCTTGTTGCCCAGGCTGGAGTGCAATGGTGTGATCTTGGCTCGCTGCAACCTCCACCTCCCAGGTTCAAGCAATACTTCTGCCTCAGCCTCCCAAGTAGGTAGGATTACAGGCATGTGCCACCAAGCCCGGCTAATTTTGTATTTTTAGTAGAGTCAGGGTTTCACCATGTTGGCTAGGCTGATCTCGAACTCCTAACCTCAGGTGATCCACCAGCCTTGGCCTCCCAAAGTGCATGCTGATGGCTTGGGAAACCACTATTCCTGGCATGGAACACAAAGAGTCAAGAAGTCAAGAAGCCACGTGGAGGCCAGGCACAGTGACTCACACCTGTAATCTCAGCACTTTGGGAGGCCGAGGCAGGCAGATCAACTGAGGTCAGGAGTTCCAGACCAGCCTGGCCAACATGGTGAAACCCTAACTCTACTAAAAATACAAAAATTAGGCGTGGTGGCGTGAGCCACTGTGCCCAGCCTCAGATTTTTTTTTTTTTAATTAGAGCTAATAGGCATTAAATTACACCACGAAATCACTAGACACATGTCCAACTGCTTACTCTCAGCTCTTGCACTTACCTCACCACGAACTGGTCACTGACAATCTGTGGAAAGTGCTGATGTGTGGACATCAGGACAACCGGGGGCGGGCCTGGCCCCCTCACGTGCGGGCACTGCAGGTGAGGTTTCTTGCATTCTGGTGCAGAACGAAGAACACAGGCCTTGAAGCCTCTCACCCTGTGACCTTGCTCCAAGACCAAACCTCTTGGGGTCTCCAGTTTGGCATCTGCAAAGTAGGGCACAGGTGGACCGCTGGTGGTGTTTGTGACAGCACATAGTACATGCTTTCCATCACGTGGTGGAGACCAGCCGAGTCTGTGCTGGGAGCTGGCTGTGGCTGCTGGTTGGTGATTGGTAAAAGGGCTCTGCAAGGGGCAGATTCTGGGAGTCCCAGGAGCAGGAACGAAGAAGGATCATTGTCATATGTCTCTGAGACTAAGGAAGGTCACCCGTGCTTTCTCCAGGCCCGTAGACACAGAAAGGGACAGAGCGGAGAAGGGAATGCATCTCCTTTCTGGGAGGCGCACAGCACGGTTTGGGGCAGTGAGGTCTACAGGAACCTGGTGCCTTTAGCTTCTGCTACTTTGGGAGTGGATAGGCTGGGGAGAATGGGGGCCTCTGCAGTGCTTGCTAGTGGGGGCAGCAGTGAGGTGCATTCTTAAAGGAGACCACAGTGGGCATGTTGGTGATCCCAGATGAGATACTCTCTGCGGGCCCCCGTTATAACTGGGGGAGCCTTTAAACTATAGTTTGCCTTCTCAACGGGGTAGTATCACCCCCAGAGAGGGGGGAGTCTTGTTCTTTTAATATATAAAACACAGGCTGGGTGCAGTGGCTCACGCCTGTAATCTCAGCACTTTGGGAGGCCAAGGCGGGTGGATCACAAGGTCAGGAGTTCAAGACCAGACTGGCCAACATGGTGAAACCTTGTCTCTACTAAAGATACAAAAATTAGCTGGATGTGGTGGCACGTGCCTGTAATCCCAGCTACTCAGGAGGCTGAGGCAAGAGAATCACTTGAACCCGGGAGGCGGACGTTGCAGTGAGCTGAGATCCCGCCACTGCACTCTACCCTGGGTGACAGAGCAAGACTTTGTCTCAAAAACAAAACAAAACACACACACACACACACACACACACACACACACACACAGAGATATGCATACAATATGTAAACCAATATATTATATGACATATCTGTGGCTATAACATTTCAAAGGAGGTGGTTGGGATTACTGAGGAAAACGTCTTAAACGCCCCTTAGGGGTACAATAATGGAAAAAGCATTTAGAAACACTCATCTAGAAGGTCTAAAGTCCTGCTCTTTGAAATTCATTCACAGGTGCCGTTGTGAACTCACCAGCTCCCTCCTTCCCACCCGCCCCGCTGCAAACAGGGACAGCACAGGAGTCTGCAGTCTCTCCCCTGCCCGCTGTGCTTCTGTACCAGGCTGTTCTCTTCCAAAGTCCTGATATCTCCACAAGTTGCTCCTCAGCTTACTGTTATCTCTGAGCCATCTGAAGAAGCTGCAAGTTTACTCCAGGCGCTGAATGAGAGGATCTGGGAGGTCTGGTGCAGACTGTGTTTAGCCCTAATGAGCAAATCCCTCCTCTGATTGTGCCAGCTTCCAGAACAGTGCTCCAAAACTGTGGTTATTCTGGACACATTGACTGAATGGGGAGCTCTTCCCTTCCTGGTCCCTGTCTCAGTGGTCCATGAAGCGAGCCTGGCAGCCGTAGAACAGCAACCTTCCTTTCCCTCCCCACCTCTCTCTTGTAACCTCCTGATAATCCTCCGGCTTCACTCAGCCTGCTGCATTCAGCTTGGGGGACCTTAAAATATAGGTTGGGTCCTGTCATTCCCCAGCTTAAAACTTTCCCATTGTACTGAGGATACTCCTGATGCCTCGGGTCAAGGCTGCTTGCTGGTTTCGAAAAGTCAGGTTCTTTCCTGTTTCATGGACCTTGCCCAGATGGTTGCTTCTGCCTGAAATGTCCCTCCTCTCCTCCAACTCATATCTGGCTCCAAAGTCTCATCTAAGGTGAGTTTTCCCTAACCACTTTTTATTTTAATAAAACCGACCACTTTTTATTTTCCGCCACTCTGTTTGTTCTCTTCATACATACGTTTGTTTGCTGATGGATTTATTGTCTTTCTTCCCACTGGAAAGGCTGGAAACTTCCTGACTCCAGAACCTGGTCCACCTTGCTCACTGCTATATAGTCAGCCCCTTGCAGAGAGCCCAGACTGTAGTAGGCATTTAATAATTATTGGTTATTTTTATAACCTGTAGCAAACGTGCTGCAGGAAGGATCGGGCTGGTGCCAACATACATGGGAATGGTCAAGGAACTGGAAAACTGTCTCCCACTGGGCCTGCCACCCACACCCAAACCCCAGCACTGTTATTAAGGATCCACATGGGCCAGTGACAAGAAGGGGCTGAGGTCAGAAAGGGTGCAGCCCAATATCTTCCAGGGTATAGGCTCGAGGGACCCTGGAGGTCTTCATATTTTTTTTCTAAACCACAAAACCTGTTGGAAATTAACTCTGAGGTTAATTTCAAGTGTCTACCGCCTCCTTGGTAGACCTGCTCTATAAGCAGGTAAGAAGGGTACTTCCTTCTCTGCCTGCCCTAGTGAATATGGCCCAAAGGCTGGACAGGGGGGAAAAGAAGGCTTAGTCACCACTTTTGCAATGCCAGCAATGCAAGCCACAGTGATACTTTTCTAGTGTGTTTTTTATTTTCAAGGAACTAGCATGACTTCTATACAATTTCCACGAAAAATGTCTTCTCCACCTGACTCTGCCATGCTAATTCATTGTGCTATTTGTAACACCAGTGGGCTTGTATTTTCTTTTTTTTTTTTTTTTTTTTTTTTTTGAGACAGAGTTTCGCTCTTGTTACCCAGGCTGGAGTGCAATGGCATGATCTCGGCTCACCACAACCTCCGCCTCCTGGGTTCAGGCAATTCTCCTGCCTCAGCCTCCCGAGTAGCCGGGACTACAGGCATGTGCCACCATGCCCAGCTGATTTTTTGTATTTTTAGTACAGACGGGGTTTCACCATGTTGACCAGGATGGTCTCGATCTCTTGACCTCGTGATCCACCCGCCTCGGCCTCCCAAAGTGCTGGGATTACAGGCGTGAGCCACCGCGCCCGGCCTTTGGGCTTGTATTTTCAAGGAGCTGTCACGTCTCTAATCTTCCCGATTCAGTTAGCTTAATCATCCAGGCTGTGCTCTGAGGAAGAAAATAGAAAGAAAGAATGTCAAATAACTAGCATATAGTGGAGCTGTGCTTTTGCGTATTTTATCTCACTGATCAGTCACTACCTGAGAAGTAGGTTGTATTATTTCCATTTTACATAAGAGGTAACATGGACTTGGGGACAATAAGTCTTTTCTCAAAAACCGCAAAGATATTAACTGAAAAACCATTAAAAGTTTTTCAAAAGAACAGGTTGTATTTTTCTGTCTTAAGGATATATGATAAAATATTTGGATTAAATGTTATATCCACTGCACAATCTATGATTAAGAAGAGATTTCTTTAGAAAAGACTGAATGTTAACAAAATCAAATGACATCTGTTTGTCAGCCAGCAAATGAGTACTGGGAGATCTTGACTGCAGGGAAGTGAGATTAGAGATATTTCTGTGCCACAGAATGAAAACCACACTGGACCAGGAGGCCTGAGTTCAGCTCCAGTCTCATTTTTCACACACGATGTACCTTTCACCATCCCCTTCACCTCTCTGAGCCTCAGTTTCTTCAACAATAAAACAAAGAGGTTGAACTATATGTAACTTACAAAGTTCCTTCTTGCTTGAATGTTCTATGAGTGAATCATTCATCTAAGACTCACTTCATCCTTCCTGGACACAACAGCATGTTTCCTGAATTCTTTTCTGACCAACATTACCATGTTTCCTGATGGCAAGTTATGAAAACTCAAGGTCCCCATTCCCTTATCCAGCAAATGAGTATTACCTCCACAGCCAGTATTCTTTCTTTCGTGTTATTCAGGGTTCAGTGGCTCCCACTCACCCTGCCTCCCCTCTCCTGCTGCTACCATGCTGGTCCAGGCTGCAGTTGCTTTCCAACTGGTGTCTCTCTCAGCGTCAGCTCTGGTCCAGCCTGTGGATGCCACCAGACTGATCTCATTAAGAGACTGCAAAACTGTTATCTTTGTTCTAAACTCTCAGTAACATCTCTGAAGCCATGGCCCTGCCCTCCAACCCCTCCCAAGTCTGGTCCCAACCAATCCCCTGTGCCTCTTAACTAATCCCTTGGAAACATGACTTCTCCTGGCCTCTTTCCTTGTCCCTGAAAAAATGGAGAGTAGGCCGGGCGACGTGGCTGATGCCTGTAACCCCAGCAATTTGGGAGGCTGAGGTGGGCGGATCACAAGGTCAGGAGTTAGAGACCAGCCTGGCCAATGTGGCAAAACCCGTCTCTACTAAAAATACAAAAATTAGCCAGGCGTGGTGGTGGGCACCTGTAGTCCCAGCTACTCGGGAGGCTGAGGCAAGAGAATCGCCTGAACCCAGGAGGTGGCGGTTGCAGTGAGCCAAGATCATGCCACTGCACTCCAGCCTGGACGACAGAGCAAGACTCCGTCTTCAAAAAAAAAAAAAAATGGAGAGTAGATAAAGACCTGCTCAAAGTCCCCTTTGATTGAGAATTCTCTCACGCTACCATGGCCAGGCTCTCATTTGTCAGCGGCCCCTAGCCTTTCCAGTCTCTGCCTGCCTACTGCTCTGTCTGGAAAGTCTTGGGAGAAACTGAGGGTGTGACTGGTAGAGAGAGTGGAGAGTCTTGGCCCATGATCTCGGCTAGTTCTGTGATTCTGGGTATGGTATTTAACTTCCTAAACCTGTCTCTTCAATAGTGAAAAAGGGAAAGCCATCCTTTTCCTGTCTCCCTTGCAGATTTGTTGAGAAGATCAAATGAAGGAATGAGTATTAAAGTAATGCTTCCTTCTTTCCTTCCAAAACCATCAATGCCTTGCACCAGACGCTTTCCTGGGCACTAGGTATGTTGCGGTAAACTGGGCAGATTTGGTCTCTGCGCTCAAGAAGAGTTTGCAGTGTAGGCCAGAGCTATCCAATGGCACTTTCTGGGAGGTAGAAATACAGTAGCCACTAATCACTGTGGCTACTGAGCACTTGAAACATAGCGAGTATGACAGGATTTTAAAACTGATTTTTAACTAATTTCATTTTAAATAAGCATGAGAGGGTAGTGGCTACCATATTGCATGGTCCAGGCCTGGACATTTAGTGAGCAAAAGAGGTATTAAAAACAAGTTAATGGGAAGTCCTAGCCAGAGCAATTAGGCAAGAGGAAGAAATAAAGGGCATCCAAATTGGAAAAGAAGAAGTCAAACTATCTCTGTTTGCTGATGATATGATCTTGCCTATAGAAAACCTTAAAGACTCCTCCAAAAGATTCCCAGATTTGATAAATGAATTCAGTAAAGTCTCAGGTTACAGATCAATGTACACAGACCAGTAGCACTACTATAGGACCATAGCAATCAAGCTGAGAATCAAATCAGGAGCTCAATCTCTTTTACAATAACTACCAAAAAAATACCTAGGGATATACATAACCAAGGAGGTGAAAGAGCTCTACAAGAACTACAAAACACTGCTGAAAGAAACCACAGATGACACAGCAAATGGCAAAACATTTCATTTCATGTTCATGGATTGGAAGGATCAACTTCGTGTAAATGACCATCCTGCCTAAAAGCAATCTACAGATTCAATGCAGTTCCTATCAAAATACCAATTTCATTTTCCACAGAATTGGGGTAAAAAAACCCTGAAATTCATATAGAACAACAACAACAAAGCCCGAACAGCCAAAGCAATCCTAAGCAAACAGAACAAATTTGGAGGTATCATATTGCTTGACTTCAAATTATTCTACAAGGCTACAGTTACCAAGACAGACAGATACTGGTATAAAAGTAGACACATAGACCAAAGGAATAGAATAGAGGATTCAGAAATACTTAAAACCAACTTATCTTCAACAAAGTGCACAAAACCATAAACTGGGGAAAGGACACCTTATTCGATAAATGATGCTGGGAAAACTGGATAGTCACATGTAGAAAAATGAAACTGGATCCTTGTCTCTCAACACATATAAGAATTAACTCAAGATGGATTACAAACTTAAATCTAAGACCTGAAGCCATAAAAATCCTAGAGGAAACCCCAAGAAAAATTATTCTGGACATTGGCCTAGACAAAGAATTTGTGACTAAGACCCCAAAAGCAAATGCAACAAAAACAAAAATAAATAAACGGAACCGAATTGAACTAGAAAGCTTCTGGACAGCAAAAGAAATGATTAACTGAGTGAACAGATAACTCAAAGAGTAGGAGAAAGTATTTGCTAACTATGCGTCTGACAAAGGACTAATACACAGAATCTACAAGGACTCAAATCAGCAAGTAAACACATAATCCCACTTAAAAAGTGGACAAACGGCATGAATAGACATTTCTCAAAAGAAGATATACAAATGTCAAACACATGAAAAATGCTCAATATCACTAATCATTGGGGAAATGCAAATTAAACCACAATGACATATCACCTTACCCCAGCCAGAATGGCCGTTATTAAAACTAAAAATAAATAAATAAATAATAAAAATTGCTGGATGCAATGGCTCATGCCTGTAATCCCAGCAGTTTGGGAGGCCAAGACAGGTGGATCACCTGATGTCAGGCGTTCAAACCAGCCTGACCAACGCAGTGAAACCCTGTCTCTACTAAAAATACAAAAGTAGCCAAGCATGGTGGAGCATATCTGTAATCCCAGCTACTTGGGAGGCTGAGGCAGGAAAATCGCTTGAACCTGGGAGCCAGAGGTTTCAGTGAGCTGAGATCTTGCCACTGCACTCCAGCCTGGGCAACAAGAGCAAAACTCCTTCTCAAAAAAAAAAAAAAAAAAAGATGTTGGCAAGGATAGGGTGGAAAGGGAATGCTTATACACTGCTGGTGGGAATGTAAATTATTACAACCTCTATGGAAAACAGTATGGTGATTTCTCGAAGAACTAAAAAAAGATCTACCATTCAATCCAGCAATCCCACTATGGGGTATCTACCCAAAAGAAAAGAAGTGATTATATTAAAAAGACACCTGCATATGTATGTTTGTTGTAGCACAATTCACAATTACAAAGATATGGAATCAACCTAAGTGCCCATCAACCAATGAGTGGATAAAGAAAATGTGGTGTGTGTGTGTGTGTGTGTGTGTGTGTGTGTGTGTGTGAATACTATGCAGCCATAAAAAGAACAAAATAATATATTTTGCACAACTTGGAACTGGAGGCCATTATCCTAAGCAAAGTAACTCAGAAATCAAAAACTAAATGCCACATGTTCTCATTTATGAGATGGAGCTAAACTATGGGTATGCAAAGGCATACAGAATGGTACAAGAGACATTGGAGACTCATAAGAGGGGTGAGGTAGCGGGGGAGGAATGAAAACCAATGTATACTATTCATGCAATGGGTTCACTAACATCCCAGACTTCATTGCTATAGAATTTGATATGGTTAGGCTTTGTGTCCCCACCCAAATCTCATCTTGAATTGTAATCTCCATAATTCCCATATCCCCACGTGTCAGGCAGAGACCAAGTGGAGGTAATTGAATCATGGGGACAGTTTCCCTATGCTGTTCTGGTGATAGTGAATGAGTTCTCACGAGAACTGATGGTTTTGTAAGGGGCTCTTCTCCCCTCCACAAGCCACTTCTCCATTCTGACATCTTGTAAAGAAGC